GGGGATGTGCCTTGTGTAACAACCAGTCCAGGGATTTACAGAACAAAAAATGTATTTTTGTATTTTCACTAAGTTTGGGGATATTTTCCTTTTAAAAAATGGTTTTTGGGTCTTAAATGGTGTGCCCAAGGGAGCCCACCCCTGATTTGTGTCCCCAGTCTCTCTCTCTCCCTTCTCTTTCATGACATGTTTACGTAAGGGTAATGGGAATAAGGAAAGGGAATTGAATTCTGATTACGGAGTATTCTGGTGTTTACTAAATACTAAGAAATCAAAAAAGTGGTGGAGCCCACATGAAACAAGGAATCCAATTCCTGAAATTGGAGGAACGGGATTCCCTAGTTTTGTGAGGTATTTGAATTCCTTGAGGGTAAGGGAATCGAGAATGCATCTTTTATTTATGCCCTCACTTGTTTCTTATTATCTCAACACTGCCCTTCGTTTGACACTCATTATGTCATTTTTAATAAATAAATAAATAACCTATTTATATATTTTTATATAGATAATTTTATTATATAAATTTAATTAATTAGTATGAAAATAATTTATTTATGTAAGGGCAATTTAGTCATCAACTTAGTTTTCATTCCGATTGAAGTGACTTAGTAAACAACTTATATGGACTCAATATCATTCTTGCCATCTTTTAATAAATAAATAAAACCTATTTATATATGCTTATATATATGAAATTTATTTTACGAATTTAATTAAATAAATTAGTATGAAAATAATTTATTTATGTAAGGGCAATATAGTAATCAACCATTCTGATTGAAGTGAATCAGTAAACAACTTATATGTACTCAACATCATTCCTACTTCGATTTCAGACAGTTTTAGTAAACAACTTCAATAGGAATCTAATTCTGATTCCACCTCATTTCAATTCTTCCTCAATCCAATTCCTCTCAATTTGATTATAGATTAGTAAACGATATTAGTTCTCTCTTCTCCCTCATTCTCCCTTATCACTCCCTCTCGACTCTCTTTATCTCAACCCCCTCCGAGGGCTTTTCTCACCAACAAACAACACCACAACAACATTAATATCTCCATTAACACCCTAGTGAGCTTAGAATCTTAAGAGAACACCCGGAACCCTTCCTTTCTCTCGACCTACATTGTTCACCGAAGTTCTCCGACGAGTTTCCTCTTCTTCCGGCAAGGGTAAGCCTTGAACCTCGTTCAAAAGTTGTAGATCATGTCTTAGTATACGTTGGGAAGTGGTTTTAAGAAGTGTTATCGATGTTTAGACGTAGGAACCTCACAGGGGAAAACTTCCTCAGTTTTCTAACGAGCACAGCTTCTTTCGAGGCAATTTCTGACCAAACCACAGCGATATGGTCAGCGTGCAAGGTATCAATCCCTTTGTCTAGCTGAATACTACAACTTTCCTTTTTCGTTTCACCCAATTTCATTGAGTATTGAAGAAGCTATACTCATTTGAATCTTAACCAGTTTCCAGCAACCTCCGCAGCTTTCGAGGCATTTTCCGGCAAAACCAATGCGAGTTAGACGTCGTGCAAGGTACCATTCTCTTCATCTCTTCGAGAATTATGATTTTTGTTTTTGAATCACTCGATTTCGTTGAGTATTGGCAAATTTATTAACGTTTAAGATTTGTTCAGTTTTCCAGCTGAAATTCGACCTCCTTCTTCTTGAGGTCCAGTGACCCACCAAACCCAGGCCCTTCGGGCCGTTCCTGTCAAGTCCAAAACCCTGGGCTGCCCAACCCAACCTTTTTATTTTTTTTTATTTCTAATTATTTTGTTAATTTAAAGGCCTTTGGGCCATTTCCCTTTAGGGCCTTAGGCCCGTGCACATTAAACCCTAAACCCTTTGGACAAAGGTTTTTGGCCACACCAAACCGGGCCTCCAGACCGTATAATACCAAATCCTAAACCTATTTCCCTAAAGCCCTAAACCCAACTAAGCCCAGCCCACCCATTTAACTAAACCCTTTAACCTTTCAAAACCCAAAACCCTTTAACCTTTTAAACCCAAAACCTTTTCTAGGTTTTAAGCCGTATACCCCCATGACCCAAATCCTTGTAACCCAAGTCTAGAATCCTATACCCTAGCCGGCACAAACCCTATATGTGGAATATTCTTATGTTGACGTTTACGAAATTTAACCGGGATCCTTCGTAGGGTAATTCGACGTCTTGAATTCGTTTTTGACGTCCATTTTCCCAAATTCAATTGCTATTATATAGTTTTATTAATTGGATCCCTTTATGTGCTTAGGTGTATATATTGTGACGATTCTGTGTTTGCTAGTTTGCGTGGCTCTTCGGCGGCTAAGCATATGTGAGTGAACCCCTTCTGAAAATGCATGTTTTAATAGTAGAAATGCATACATGGAAAAGCATGATTTAACAATTATGTTCTATGAAATGCTTTGAGATAACATGCTTACTGAGGTTATTTTGAATTATTACTATTTTTCCTATAACCTGTGTTCTTATAGAATATCTGATAGATGACGATATGATATTTAGGACATGTTTAGAATACCTCTTTATAGTATAGATGATGGATGACTTTATACTATGAAGTTGTTTTTCAAATATATGTATGTTCAATGGTTTTGTACTTACCTAGTGTTCCTAATTCTGCTACGGGACGAGGGATAGATTTTGGTCCGTCCCAAGCGACAATTATGGTGTTGGCATAAGGCTTAAAATGTGTTTCCTCTAGCTATTAACATAGGAATGGGGAGCTGGCATGGGGCCTGGGGGTAATTTTCCTCTCACTATTTGCTCAGAGACAAGGAGCTGGCATGGGGCCTGGAGGGATATTGGACATTCACTAGTGATTACGATATATATGATATATGTTTTGAGACATTGCACGGCATGTTAGGTTTCGGAAAACTTTTTTTTTATCATGATATATGTGTTTTCATAAAACCTGGGGGTTAGTAAGTTAATAACTATTTTATTATATCTATATCAACTTAGTCTACTCATGTTTGTTTTGCGCCCCATTTAGGAATTAGAATCGAGGCGTACAATCCCGGCATCAAAGCACTTCTGCATCGATACCTTCTAGTCCTCTCGGTGTAGGACCCATTCTTTTATTCATTTAATCTTTTATTTATTTCTTTTAGTATTCTAGTTAGTTGTATGCTTTGAACTCATTCCTCATTTGCATATTAATTATATTTAAATTTATAAGTCCTATTTATTCCTTTTTCTCTGCATTTGCATTCAATAAATGGCTTTCGTCATCCTTGGGTGTCCGCCAACACGTGCCTATCTTGGTATTCAGGGAATATTGGGATCGAGACGTGTCACTTTGCCTCACAATGGGTTAACAATAATGTGATTCAATTAATTGTTTATTAAATATTATTTTCTCTATTCTTAATGTAAATTCTATAGAGATTGATTTTATTATATGAATTCAGCTGCTTTAATTGATTTATGAGGTGTTTCTTTTAGCATGATCTAAGATTATTCATTTACTTCGAATATTTGACTTTTCATATAACATGATTTAAAAACATGTAGATCGCGCGTAGCATGTCATGATTCAAAAAATATCTTTTATACATGCGTGAGCGCGTGCATGAAGGCTAGTAAAGAAGAAAATACACTTGAAGAAGCCAATACGGCATTTCAAGTGTCAACGAGTTAGAAATATTACCTAACCAGATTTAAAAACTGTGTTAATTGCATGATCAATAACTCCCCCAATCCATATCATTTATTCGGCAAACATTATATATGTGTTTCAAATATATTAAAAAATGTCTCACTTGCATGATGAACATGCATGTGTGAGGCCTGCATGCACGCGTTCAGAGTTTCCAAAAAATGATTTGATAAAAACTAAGAGTATTTTGGTAATTTTATTCTTATTTGATGGAGTTTTTTAAGGAATGATCAAAATGATTGATGGTTGACAAAATCAGGGTCTAATTCTATTGATTTCAAATCTCAATGATTAAAGCGATGAATTATGCAAATCTCAATGATCATTTTGGCTAAAAAGCCCAATATAATTGAAATGAACAAAACTTGGCTGTTGAACAATGAGCAGCAACTCCTGCTGTTGGCCAATCACAGATGAACACATGTCCAAGTAATTGATTTTTTAATCACAGATTAGACACGTGTTCATCTGTGATTGTCTAGTAGCAGGAGTTGTTTCTCATTTTTAACCAAGTAGTCACCAATTGAGATGAGTTTCATGAGACAAATTGAGTATGAAATTGAGTTTCAAGGGGTATTGATGTGATAAGCCATTTGGTTTTGCCGATTTTGTTTTTTTAGAAAAGATCCTCTTTGGATTCATTTTGTGAGAATCTTAAAGATCTCTATATTATAGTCGTTCATCGTACATCATGTGTTAGTTTTTGTCAAGTACTATTTGTATTTAATTTTAAATAAAAAAGTTAAATAATTTTTTACCGCATGATGCACAATGAATAACGATAATATGAACACAATTCCAACCCGAATGGAATCCAAATCGTTTTTCAGTAAGAGTAAATTTTTAGATTGGTCCCACCTCCCACGTGCATGACATAAATAATAGACCATAACTGCAACCATAGGAATTTTCATAGAATGAGGATCCTCTCTCTCCGGATTTTTTTTACTCTTCAGATCTTCTTTGTAAGGATTTGAGAATTCTTAAATTGTATCGGTTAATCGTAAATCGTACGATTAATTTTTATCAAATACTATTTACATTTAATTTTAAATAAAAATGTTTAAAATAATTTTTAACTACAAACATACATAATTTGAAAATTCTTTAAGATCCAAGAGAATTCGAGGGGGAACCTCATTCATTTTCATATCCTCGAAGGTCTACATTTCTATGTCCAGAAATTATTAAATAGACCTGCAGACTTAAATTATCGTGTTTGTCCTCTTATATTCAAATTTAAAATATTAAACTAAATTCGGATAAATTGCTTTGAAAAATTATGAATACCATATACGGCAATCACAATCAACTCATATTTAACGGTTAAATTTATCATGCAGGCCGCGATCCCAGTTAACCAATTTAAGATATTTGTGCCTGAAACTAGTTACTCAAAAAGAAAATCGTAATTATATATAACCTACTTACTCTGATAGATACATAGATCTCTCTAGACCGAGTTACCAAACCTCACTGAGTCACTAAGCAATGCACTCCCCTTCTCCAGCCCAAGCTTCCGACGACTCTCATCCCACTCCCACAAGAAAAACGCCATGGCACTCACCTTTTCTCATCTTCTTAGTACTGGCTCCAGTAGCAATAGCCCTACTCATTTACCGACTCGACACGCTCGACCCAGCTTCCCTGCCACTTCACGAGTTGACTCAGCCAGTCGCAGCTGCTCCGAAGCGTAATGCTCATATGCTCAAAGGGTCGGAGTTTGTGGGTGTCGGGGCTTTGGTGGCACCGGAAGACGTGGCTTACGATCCGAAGACGGGACTTATTTATACGGGATGTGCTGACGGGTGGGTTAAGCGAGTCACGCTGAACGAGTCGGCTGCTGACTCGGTGGTGGAGAACTGGGTGTTCACAGGCGGGAGACCGCTCGGAATTGCTCACGGCGCTGACAAGGAGGTTTACGTGGCTGACACCGATAAGGTCAGCCTGATCCTAATTCACAGCACTTTTTTTGTGTTTAGCAATAAAGTATATTCTGATTTTGTTCGTATGTTTATGTTGTCAATTTTCACGTACACATGGACACGTGAACTGAAAACGTAATCAAGGTTTACGTAAAGAGATAATGCTTGCACTGAGTATAAGACGTTGTGAATCACAAAATAAGTTGAATAACATACTCAATTAAGAAATGTAATTGAATTTGTGAAACTTTGATGATAAGTTTGTATTTCTTGAGTACATGTTATATGTTAGTGGGATCATCCTGTCACTTTACCAATGTAGTGATTTTCACTCTCGTTTTCGCCTGAACCCCTCATCTTATTTCAGTTCTTTGTTTTTTTATTTTTTTATTTATTCAATCCAAGGGCTACAGAGGAAAAGTACTGAGAGAACCACTCATTTTCCATCAACAAAATTTTACTCTTTTTTTTGGGTGTTTATCAGGGGCTACTGAAGATAAGTGAGGAGGGAATAATCGAACTGCTGGCAGATGAGGCCGAGGGTGTAAAATTCAAGCTAACAGATTTTGTAGATGTAGCAGAAGATGGTATGATTTATTTCACAGATGCTTCATACAAATACAGCTTGGATGAGTTCATGTTGGACATTTTGGAAGGTAGACCCTACGGTAGATTTCTGAGCTACAATCCGATGACCAAAGAGACCAAAGTGCTCGTTCGCAACCTGTACTTTGCTAATGGAGTTGCAGTCTCTCCAGATCAAAACTATGTCATCTTCTGCGAAACTGTCATGTATGTTTTCAGACTTACACTTTTTATCGGTAGTGATTCTCACATTCTCAAACGTTTTATGCTTTTATGTATATTCAATCTATAGCTAAAAGAAAGAATGAAAAGCGCAAGGCAAGAAAAGGGGGGTGCGAAAATCACGTTGTATCCTATTTAAGTATATGTGACAAAGTTTTAGATTATGCTATGTGGTTAATATTGCAGGAGAAGGTGTAGGAAATATTACCTGGAAGGCACTAAAAAAGGGGGTGTAGAAAACTTTATCGACCATTTACCGGGCATGCCTGATAATATCAGATATGATGGAGAAGGCCATTACTGGATTGCACTGGCCACGGTAAGATTTCTTCTTTATTTTTTGAAAAATCACATCAATCTGTTAGTAATGAATAGAGTATCGCTCAAGTAAATGTTCTATTGCTAGACAAATCCCGGTCTGTAAATTTCGACCACAAATTCTTGGATGCATATTCCTGTCATTTTTCTATGACAAATTGCCAGGATGTTAAACCATACTGGGATCTAGCACTTCGATATCCTTTTATTCGGAAAGTCCTAGCGATCGTGAAGCGGTATGCAGGAGGCAGGCCACATTTGGAGAAGAATGCGGGCGTATTTGTTGTGAATTTGGATGGTGAGCCGATTGCTCACTACTCTGATCCTGAGTTAATTCTCATTACAAGTGGGATCAAGATTGGAAAGTACCTCTACTGCGGTTCCGTCGTCTATCCCTACATTATCCGCCTCGATCTGGATCAACATCCTGCACATGCCACCACATGAGCTAATACCTAGCCCCTTGGTATAATCTTCAACACGTACGGAATGGTATTGTAGCTTCACTAGAGAAACTTAAGCATAGACTATAGATGCAATGGTAGTGTTTGGTTTATGTAATTTTGCCTTGGTTTATGATTGTGAAACGAATGTATGACACCTTTTGAGGAAATGAAATTTACTAATGTATTTTTTTTCAAAAGAAAAAAAAAATTAACAATTCAATCGTTAACAATCATATTATTTAATTTACTAAATTTGATTTAAAATTTAGTTTATCTAACAAAGTTGTTGATGTGAATAAACCATTTAGTTTTGTCAATTTTGTTTTGATAATTTGACAATAATAGATTATATCCATACAGGCAATGTTAAGAAGACCATGCATGACATAAATAGTAGACCATAACTGAAGTTCTACATTTCTATATCCAGAAATTATTAAATAGACCTGCAGACTTTAATTATCGTGTTTGTCCTCTTATATTCAAATTTAAAATTTATATCTACTAAAACTCAGCAGATTAGCACTGTTCATCATGTGAGAGGGTGCACTATTCATCAACAATGAAAGGTTTCTGCTTTGGTTGCCGTAATGTTCACACTTTGCTACAGGAAAAAGTCTGTTTTGTCCTTCTTGGCCTCGTGTTTATCGTCAGTATTGGATTCGGTTCTTATTGCCTGCTTTGTACAACTAAAGGGATAAAGTAAGGGAACTTTTAATGAAAATTTCTCGATACTATTTAGTTTAATAAAAAAATTATTTTTTTATATTAAAAAATTAATTATAATACTATTTATCAATGTTTTCAATTTCTTTTCATTAATTTTTCTATAAAGTGAGATTCTTTGACAAAAAAAATAAGATTAAAAAAATGTAAGGGCTCCATCTGTCCCCCTCCCTCTCATCTCATCTGGGAAAGGAAGATAGGTGGAAAAGTAGAACTCTTCCATTTGCTTCCACAGATATCTCGAGCTCTCTCTCAAGCCCAGAACCCTAGCCTCTGCAAGGGAATAAGGTTCGTCTCTCGCTCTCTCCTTCTCTCTCACACATTTTTTTTTTTCCAATTTGGGACGTGTTGTCTTCTCCTTTTCCATCTCCATCCCTGCCCAACTTGCCAAATCTCTCCTGGGAACCTTCCACCATGTTGTTTTTTTATATGAAAACTAATAAAAAGAACTTGGAAACTTTGAGTTTTAACGATAAGGACAAAATAAAAGGTAAAGTGAATAACACCAGAATTAACTTTTTAGTGTAAAAATGTGGTTTTTCGTTAAAGTGAATAATACGGGGAGATTTTGGTTAAAGTTCCTGTTTTTTATCTACATCAGTGGCTTCTTTTTGGTTAGCAGAGGGACGACTATTCAAGGATTCATCATGTCCGCTGGTTGTATTCACCCTAACCCACAGAGGAAATGAAGGCACAAGTCCTTAGGCGCCTTGAAGCAAGTCTGGCACTCATCTCAGTCTACGCGTTTGCAAACCATTTGTGCTTTAGGTATATAATTTCAAGTTCTCCTTTTCATTTTCTATTGATGAGAGTTTTGATTTTTTGTGTGTTGTGGAGGTTAAATGTGTTGGAAACTAAAATTACAAATTTTGTTTTGTTTGGATGTCAGGCAAGAATCACCCCCCAAGACATTGCAGGGCATGAGGGTACAATTAGGATTGGAGATATGTAGGTATATATTGATTTGATTTTTGTTGTATTGGTTGAAGCTTTGTAAACAGTACTAGAGTTGTTAAATTTGTCCACCATATATATTCTCCAAATTATGACTCAATGTTGTTGTTGATGTTACTTGGTAATGGGGTTTCTTAAGGTAGACTGTTATCAAGTTCGAATTTTCCAATTTTCTTTCTGCAAATTATTTCTTGTTTTAGGAACTGCAATTGTATAATTTTAAGTGATTGAAAATTGGATTTGGTGAATCTCTGTTTATTTTTTCTTTTAATATTTTTATTAATTGCCTTATACAGCATTTCTGTAATTTATGTTGAATTACAATCAAATGATGAATCTTCATTTTACTTAGGTAGCATTTTTTCACATATAATTTGGCTGACCATTTTAACTGTCAAACCATGTTGTTTTAGTTCATGCTACTAATCATGCATTCGGTAGATTTATGTATACAACACCGTTTAAATGCTAATCCATTACTAACATAATGCGGTCTTTACAGATAAAGTAATGGATTCTTTACAAGGACTTATTAGCAATTCATTATTTTATATAATAATTTGGATAAAATATCGATGAGAAATAATATATATACCAAATAAAAATCTCTAAACTCTCTTTGTTTTGTTTCTTCTCTATTTATATTATAACACTGTTTTAATTGCTTTGCTTTGTTTTTCTCAATTTCTATTAGATGTTCTTTGCAGATATGAATAGTTATTTTATTTATTTTTTTGGCTTTTAAAACGAAGCAAGTGATTTTGAGTAAGTTTTTCCAGCTGTTGCAGGTTTGCCTTTTGTTGATGAGATCTAGGTTTTTAGGGATTTATGGATTTTTTTTAGCTTTTAAGTGTTGGGGATTTGTCCTTTTGGAATTTTTGTTTGCTGCCCTTGGATTTTTGAATTGTTACAATTTATAATTCATTTTTACCAAAAAAATTTATAATTCATCTGAATCGTTTTTAATAAATCAGTGTTATCACGTAGACCAGTTTACATAGTGAAACTTTATGTTGGGTTTTTTTTCAATCTTTCTTATATTATATTTGTTCTGACTTTTGATCAATTTGAATATGTCGATAAAGCTGCCCGTGATAATGGAAATCACTCTCAAAGGCTGTGGGTAATTCTCTGCTTTTAATATTTTGTATTTAGGAGTGTAAATTTTAATTTATGAATGGGTCTTTTGTTTAAATTTTGTTATTGTGATTTTGGGGGTTTTGTTTTTGGCTTTAGGAAATCGTGGTTCCAACTGTTGAGAGGCCAGCATAAGAAAGAATGCACCGGACTTAGGGTTAGTTTAGTATTGCTGTGTTTTAAAAAAAAAATACAGCTTTTGTTGTGCTTTAAAAATAATCAGTTGTAAAATAAAGCAGTTGAGTAATTTGTAAACTTTTATTGTAAAAGTGCTTTTAACAAAAAAATCATTGTTCAAGTTTTTGGTAAACTTTTATGTAAAATTGCTGTGATTATGTTAAATGACTAAAAAAGTATAATGTTAAATGTGATATATTAATTTTTCTTATTTATAAATTTCATCTTCAATCTTCATCATTTATCTTTATTTTATTTTTTTATTTATAATTTTAGCTTCCATCTCTCTCGTTTATCTTTGTTTTATATTTATTTATATTTTTATCTTCATTCTCCATCTCAAATGGAATCGTGCAATTAAAATGAGACCAAAGTCATCTTCTTCCTTGCGCTCGACTATGCAAAAAAAAAGAAAGAAAAAATGCGATTCCGGCATCTTCATGTACGCCTGCCTAGCCCCTGCTCAGACTTGCATACCTTTTCCTAGTCCTTCCTAGTCCCACCAGGCATCCTGCTTTCCGATTTTGTGGCTGATTCGGAAGGGGTAGATTATCCAATGAGACCAGAGGGGCACCTGGGCTTCATTTCAGGTGAGGGGAGGGGCGCGTTGCCCCTCATGTCCCTTTGTAGCTTTGCCTATGCTCTAGCCCTTTAGATCGCAAGCGTTTCACCCTTGGAACAGTTCCCGTAAAGCAGAAATCTTCATAAGATCATCCTCCCCAATAACATAATCGCCGGTGGCCTTGAATTCCTCGCGAAGCCGGACTCGATTCGTCCTCTTGAACAATTGGATTCGAAGATCTGATACGATGAAGGGAGCGAGAAGGAGAAACGAAGATGGTATAATTGGGTTTTAAAAAGTTTCATTAAACTTTACTATTCATCCGCCTACTTTAAAAAAAAGCAGGTTTTGAGAAGCAGCAAAATGCTGGTTCCCTTTTTCTATTTATTTTAGTTGGAACTTTGAAAAGAAGAGCTTATTTTTACATTTATCAAACACATTTTACACCCCCAACTTTTTTTCATAATTGCTTTTTTTATAATTTCAACTGTGCCAAATTAGCACTTATAGCTAGGTGAGAGGTTTATTTATTTATCTCTTAACATTTCCTAATAACATGCTGTTGCTCCAAGAAAGAAACATTTGGTGCTGTACTGAACAATATTCTCATCCATTGTACAAACAAGAACAGTGTTCCTTCATATCCAATGGGGAATAGCAGGCTGACCATTCTGTATGTAAATAGCAAGACATTTGATAATGTTCTTTGTATAAATTGTATAATAACCAAGAACATAGTCTATTGTGTTTAGTATTTGTACAGTAAAAAACCTCAGGATTAAAAACTTAATTTATAAGTTGCGAATGAATTGCTTTGGTTGCATTAGCGTTTGTAAATCAATTTTTGACTCGAACATTATTTATAAAGATTGCAGTTTCATAATCTTTTATATAATTTTTAATCTCCATAATCGCGCGGGTACAGGTTCTAGTTCATATATGCAAAAACAAAACTCAGCGTTACTGTTTATTAACAGTAAAATAGCGAAAATGCCCTCCAAATTTTTTTCCTCAACGTTTTCTTTTAACTTTTCCACAGTGCAAGGACGATTCTGCCCTTGGTAACCATGCGTCTGTCATCGGTGGTTGTTCCGCTCCATTTCTTCTCTGCCTTTTGTTTGACTGCGGCTCTCCCCATCTCCCTCTTTCGCCTCACTCTTCTCTGCGCCAAGCAGCTCGATTTAGGGCTTCACCATTTCTCTTCAAATCAAGGTATCTATTTCTCTCCCTATTTTCCCAATCAAGGTTTCCCTCTCTCTCTGGGGAAAAACCCTAGATCTCACCACTGCCGGAGAGTCGAAGCTCGGCCCTTCGAGCTTCAATCCGCCTTGCCGATCGCCTCCTCTCGGCGCCTTCACCTACACCGCTCTGGTAAATCTCCCAACTTTTCCCCCAATTCTTTTTTCTCTCTATTTCTGCGCTTTCGAAAGGTTTCAGATTTTCGCCTTCGCTTATGTTTCTGAAAGGACCTTGATTTTGTGTTTAATTCAGCTTGTTGCGTCGTGAATTTTGAATCTTTAGCCTGATTATGCTGCAATTAATTTCAATTTGTGGGTTCGAGTAAATTCCGCACCTTTTCTTTTCGTTCTTTAATTTTTGAGTTCGATCTGTTGAGACTTTTGTTCTACCAAATTTGAGTTGCAGCAGAAGGAAGCTAGGAGGTGCAGCAACTGGAAGTCGGATTTCACTCTCGTGGCTGCAATTAGATCAAGTTGTGGCTGATTTGATTTGAGCACGCACAGATTGTTTTCGAGGTTTTTGACTCCTACCCTTCCAGAAACTTGAGGTACGAAAATTTCAAATTTTTTTTGTGTTTTTGATTTATTTTCAGTGTTAATTTTTGATAAACCCATTTAGAATTTGATCTGGGTTTTGCCTGGATTCCAGAGTAAAAACCTTGAAACTTGAAGGTCTAAAAATTTCAATTATTTTTATTTTTATTTATTTTCAGTGTTACTCTCTGATTAATATTATTTTGGGTTTTGCAGAAATGCTATTCTTGCGGAAGACCTGCCATGTAAGTGATTTAATTTTTGCTTTTCGAATTTCTACTTTTCATACATAATTATGAATATGTAGATGATTTGTGGGTAATTTTTTTTTTTTTTAACTTAATCTCCAATTCAAAGTGGGTAATTGCAGATTGATTGATCTGTTTCTTCGTCGTCGATTCAGCTGCTCGCCTGGCTTCATCGCAGAAGGATGTGTTTGCTACTGGTATGTTTTGCTATTGTTTCTCTCACTGGTAATTGTGTGTTTTGTGTGTTGATTTAGCATCTCAAGCATATACGGATTTCTATCAGTCTTTGAAGTTTGATTGATCTAAAACTATAATATATGTGTGTGTGTGTATATATATATATATATATTCGAATAGGGATAAGATGTAAAACAGTGAGAGTATATTTAGGGGTTAAAATTTTTTATTTCTCCCTGCAAGACAAAATATAAATTCCATTGCTGCAACTTCCATTGAAATTGTAATATCTACGATTAGATCATTGCTATGTACAACTCTTAATTAGAATAGCAGCAAATACAATTTTCAAACTTTGAGTCATGTTGCCTTTTCAAGCTTTCAGTCATGCACTAATGATTCTGGAAAAGCAGTTATATCATTGTTTCTTTGAAATATCAGATATTCAATATAACAATGTAAACCTTGCTAATTAATGTTGGTTAAGTACTGATTGTTTCCTCGCTCACCTTACCATTACCCTAGCGAGCTTCCTCTCACCATCTCCACAGCCCACTTCGCCCAGCTTGATTCATCGTCTCAACCATCTCAACATTGACCATGAGACCTTCTAGGTTCAATCTCTGTCTCTAGAAATTCAGTTTTTCCTTTCTTTTGATTTATTTTTAAATTTTACATGTTCTTGTTCATGAGTTGGTTTATTGAATTTGACAAAATCAGGTGTTAGATCAAACTGTACCTTCAACCCTCGAGAAGATGATCAAGGTGAAGGTGGAATGAGCATTTGTAGATCCTATCAATCTTCAATTTTTAGTTTTCTTGCTTTTATTTTAGTTTTTTTTTTTTTTATTGCTAAGTTTAACTATCAGTACCCACTACTAATATCTTGGTTTGTTAATTAAAAAATGTGTCCATTCGAATCGCAAAATTTAGAACATTTATTGAAGGAATTCTGATTTCAGCCTTATGGACTTTACAAATAGGAAGCAGAAGAGACAATAATAAGTACAAAATGATGCTTTTGGCTCCCACTTTTGAGGTTACTACCATGAGCAGGTACAACAGGCAACTGGTCAGCTTAAGAAAAAAGATTTTTTTTTTCTTAATTATGTACAAAGTTTGAATTTTAAATTCTGGGTTGGATTCAGTTCTTCATTTAATTTGATGGTTTGAATTAGATGGAAGAAGTTTGCTTTCATTAATGCATAAATTATTGATTGTTTTAGTTAAGATGCTAATTTTGCAGGTATTAACAAACCAGTTCAATTTGCTTTCAAGTTGATGAGGTTGTGATTGTGGATGCTGACATGATTATCCGCAAGCAGATTGTTCCTTGGGAACTTGGGTGCTGAGAAAAGCAAGACTCTTGCATCATATTAGTTAACCAGATTATAAATGATGCTAGTAGGTATATTACTACTGCATCTTTTTTCATGTAATTACCTATGATAGCACTTGTATGTGGGCAATCTATATATTCTTAAATATGTGATGCAAATCATTTTCTTTGTTTATTGGATATTAAAGATGTAAATGTACTAAATTGGAAGCTCAAATATTGAATAACATAATGTACACCCAAACACATGGTACAATTTGACACATTTTCAACGTCTTCAACCATGTTTCAAACCAGCAGCAACACGCGGATACAATTTGCTAGTATTAAACTAAAATTCGGATAAATTGCTTTGAAAAATTATGGTTACTATATATATGGCAATCACAATCAACTCATATCTAACGGTTGAATTTGTCTTGCAGGCTGCGATCCTAGTCAATCAATTTAAGATATTTGATAAAGTAAGATTGAATATGTATTCGAGGCGTACACGTAACTAAGTACTTAAAAAGTCCGAAATCCAATAATGAAATATTTGACGCAAGTGACATTTTACCACAGAGATAAAAATGCATTGAGCTTTTGTCGATAAGGGTTCAAATTTAATCGTTAATTGATCTAACATTTAATTTAATAAAATTATCATTTGATCAAAACAAAAATAATAAAATATGCGTCGAGACTAGTTGCCTGAAACTAGTTACTCAAAAAGAAAATCGCAATTAAATACATACCTACCTGCTCTGATAGATAGATAGATCCTTCTAGACCGAGTTACCAAACCTCACTGAGTCACTGAGCAATGCACTCCACTTCCCCAGCCCAAGCCTCCGACGACACTCATCCCACTCCCACAAGAAAAACTCCTTCATGGCACTCAACTCTTCTCATCTTCTCGGTACTAGCTCCAGTAGCAATAGCCCTACTCATTTACCAACTCGACACGCTCAACCCAGCTCCTCTGCCGCTTCACGAGTTGACTCAACCAGTCGCAGCTGCTCCCAAGCGTAATGCTCATATTCTCAAAGGGTCGGAGTTTGTGGGTGCCGGGGCTTTAGTGGCACCGGAAGACGTGGCTTACGATCCGAAGTCGGGACTTATTTATACCGGATGTGCTGACGGGTGGGTTAAGCGAGTCACGCTGAACGATTCGGCTGCTGACTCGGTGGTGGAGAACTGGGTTTTCACCGGCGGGAGACCGCTCGGACTTGCTCACGGCGATGACAAGGAGGTTTACGTGGCTGACACGGAAAAGGTCAGCCTGATCCTAATTCACAGCACATTTTTTTGTGGTCAGCAATAAAGTACTCTGATTTTGTTCGAATGTTTATGTTGTCAATTTCTACATACACATGGATATGTAAACTGAAAACTAGGGTGGTTCGGTATGGGATCCCATACCAAAACCATTGTCCCGATTCCCAAACCGAAATTTTTGAGAATCCCAAATTCAATCCCAATCCTAAACCAAATTTTCGGGAATCCCAATTTTCGGGAATCCCGAAATTATTTCGGGATTTCGGGACAAATCGGGAATCCCGAAATGTTTTTGGGCTTTTGGACTAAAATTTGACATATTATGTTTTTGGGCTAAAACTTGACATATTATAAAGTAATAAATAAAGTAACAAACTCAAAAGCAAAAATAGTAGTTACAAGCCAAGGTTTATAAATAAAGTAACAAACCCAAAATCAAAAAAATTAGTTATGAGCCAAAGTTTCAATAATTAAGTTACAAACCAAAAGCTAAAAAGCAAAGCTTAAAGTCTATAAATATTGTTGGCCTCTTCGGCCCCTTCGTCCCCTTGATCTTGTTGATGCTTGTGGTTGCTCCCTTCTTGTTGGTAATTGTATATATATATATATATACAGATTAAATCTAAAACAATGAACGGTTGAAATAATTCTCTTATAATAAAAAAAATTATATATATATATATTTATTTCAATTCGGTATGGGAATACCGAAAAAATGGAGATGGAATACCGAATCCCATACCGAAATTTTCGGTTTGGTTCGGGATTACATACCGAAAATTTCGGGAATTTTGGTTTGGGATTTTTTTGGTTTGGGATCGGGATTTTTTCGGTTTGGTTTGGGATTTTTGGGATTTTTTTCCAGCCCTACTGAAAACGTAAGGTCATTTCCAATCGAACGACTTCGTTTAGCCTCCTTCTAAATTATAGTTTTGTAAGGTCATCTCTAATCAAAGGATCTAAAGGGTAAAAAATAGTGCGAAAATTGTCTTCAACAGAAGGTTAGGTCAGAAGGCTCGTGAGCTTCACGGAATTTAAAAGGACCAAAGGGCTAACCAGAAAATTAGAGCAATCCTGTCGGATATAATCGATAGGAGTATATTTAATATAAATATGTTTCTGTCGGTTATAACTGATATGATTATTTAAAGAAAATTTTGAATCCAACGACTAGCTGATATCAGCTAGCCGTTATTTTTGAATTTTTTTTTTTTACAGTTTTATTTTTTTATTTACAAAATTTGTTTCGTATTTTTTTTCCTATAACTTCTATTTTACAAAATTTCTTTCCTATTTTTTTTTTAAATTCTATTTTTTGCTATAACTTCTATTTCACAAAATTTGTTTAATATTTTTAATTTTTTTCCCTATAACTTCTATTTTACAAAATTTGTTTCATATTTTTTTTTTAAATTTCATTTTTTCCCTATAATTTCTATTTCACAAAATTTGTTTCATTTTTTTTAATTCTATTTTTTTCCTATAACTTCTATTTTACAAAATTTGTTTCATATATATTTTTTTAAATTCTATTTTTTTATATAACTTCCTAAGCCATTATACAACATTAAATTAAATTAAGTAACATGAAACAACATTAAACAATATATGTAACATCCCACATCGCCCAGGGGACTGATCGTTATATGTATATTCCATCTCTACCTAGCACGAGGTCTTTTGGGAGCTCACTGGCTTCGGGTTCCGTAGGAACTCCGAAGTTAAGCGAGTAGTGCGCAAGAGCAATCCCAGGATGGGTGACCCACTGGGAAGTTGCTTGTGAGTTCCCAAAAACAAAACCGTGAGGGAATGGTAAGCCCAAAACGGACAATATCGTGCTACGGTGGTGGAGCGGGCCCGGGAAGTGATCCGCCCGGGGCCGGGATGTGACAATTTGGTATCAGAGCCTATCCCTGGCCGGAAATGTGCCGACGAGGACGTCGGGCCCTTAAGGGGGGTGGATTGTAACATCCCACATCGCCCAGGGGACTGATCGTTATATGTATATTCCATCTCTACCTAGCACGAGGCATTTTGGGAGCTCACTGGCTTCGGGTTCCGTAGGAACTCCGAAGTTAAGCGAGTAGTGCGCAAGAGCAATCCCAGGATGGGTGACCCACTGGGAAGTTGCTTGTGAGTTCCCAAAAACAAAACCGTGAGGGAATGGTAAGCCCAAAGCGGACAATATCGTGCTACGGTGGTGGAGCGGGCCCGGGAAGTGATCCGCCCCGGGCCGGGATGTGACAATTTGGTATCAGAGCCTATCCCTGGCCGGAAATGTGCCGACGAGGACGTCGGGCCCCTAAGGGGGGTGGATTGTAACATCCCACATCGCCCAGGGGACTGATCCTTATATGTATATTCCATCTCTACCTAGCACGAGGCCTTTTGGGAGCTCACTGGCTTCGGGTTCCGTAGGAACTCCGAAGTTAAGCGAGTAGTGCGCAAGAGCAATCCCAGGATGGGTGACCCACTGGGAAGTTGCTTGTGAGTTCCCAAAAACAAAACCGTGAGGGAATGGTAAGCCCAAAGCGGACAATATCGTGCTACGGTGGTGGAGCGGGCCCGGGAAGTGATCCGCCCCGGGCCGGGATGTGACAATATAAAAGAATATTAAATAACATAAAAAAAAAACATTTAACAACATGAAACTTAAACAACATTTTTAAAAACATTTAACGACATAAAACATAAACCTACTCCATGCTTCTTTTGGCCCAAAGATGTGCAACAAGATCTTATTGTAGGTACTTGTTTGTGGCACGAGAACGTATCATTCTATAGCTCCTCATGTATTCATTTATATAGATACTACTAGTTCTTGAATTGAAGAGCAAATTAGGCCCATCATATATTTTTGCACAAGCCCTTCTTGACCTATTTGGATTTTCTTGGTCGTCATCGAACTCTCCATCAATATACTCATCTCGCTCATCCTTCACTATCATATTGTGTAATATGATGCAAGACATCATGATGGAATCCAAATTTTCTCGACTCCACCCTCTTGTAGGTTCGCTGATAATCTTCCACTGTTGGATTTGAATTCAAATGGTAGTTTTTAAATAATAAATTATGTTTGGCCCTATGGTCCTTTGGCCCTAGGTTGGAGACTGTTTTTTGTGACAGGGCTAAAACGAGCCCTATAGCCCTTTGGCCCTCGGTTGGAGATAGAGGCAAATATGGTCATGTACTGTTCATTAAAATGTTAATATCTTGGAGGACCATAAGGCTAAAATAAGCCATCTGGCCAGCCCTCAGTTAGAGATGAAGGCAAATATGTTATTTTACTGTTCATTAAAATGTTAATATCTTGGAGGGCCATAGGGCTAAAATAAGCCATCTGGCCAGCCCTCGGTTAGAGATGGCCTAAGAAATTATTTTTTAATAAACCCTATCAGGCCATATTTATATTCAATCTACAACTGAAGAGTGCTATTTTTTTAGTCCCCCTCAACAATTTATTATTTGAAATTTGTTCTTTAATTTTATCAATTAATTGAATTAAACTACTATATTAAAATAGAAGATTAATTTTAGTTTACTATCTTGATGTTTATTGATTTTCAACATTTGGACTTGAAGTTTTTTTCGTCCTAATTTGGTACCTAAAGTCATAATTCTGTGATACTTTCATACATTGGTTAAATTTTTCGTCAGAACCTCTATGAATTGATGACGTAGCGTTCACGTGAATAATGACTAAGTGTCACGTGTCAATATGAGCTCACATGAAAATTTAAAATTGAAAGGAAAAAAAAAAAAAAAAAGACCTTTTTTTTTTATCCACCCATTTCCTACCTCACTGCCCCCTCCCTCCTTCCAATTTCTAAAATATATCAAAAATCCTGTTGACCCAAATACTTAATTTGGATAAATTCGCAATTCCTAAACGATTCTTAAGCATTCCTAGCCTTCGTCGCCACGTCATTGGACTCCGGCAGCGGCATCAATACCTGGTGGCTACCTTGCCTTGGTGCTTCGATTCTTTTCTCTCCTCGACATTTTGTTGGGTTGGGTGTGCGGGAAGGATGGGTGCGATTATAGAGGAGAGAAGGGAGGGTGGGTGCATGTTGCAGAGGAGAGAAGGGAAGGTGGGTGTGGGTTGTAGAGGAGAGATGGGAGGGAAGGGGTGGGGAGGGAAAGAGATCATCTTCGGTAGGGAGAGTGAGGTACGAAACGGGTGGGTAGAAAAAAAATTTTCAATTTTTTAATTTTCACATGGGCCCATATTAACACGTGGCATCCAGTCATTGTTTATGTGGGCAACAATTAACGGAGGTTCTCACGGAAAACTTAACGAATATATGAAAGTGTCCCAGAATTATGACTTTAGGTACTAGACTATGACGAAAAAAATTTCATGTACCAAATGTTAAAAACCAAAAAACTTTAGGATAGTAAACTAAGATTAACTCTAAAATAAAGTCTCTAGACATATTTAGAGGGTCACTTGTCACTAAATGTTGTTTTAAGTTTTATGTTATTAAATATTTAATTTTACTTGCATGTAGACAACTTAAACATTAAAATGAGGTAAAATAGTATGGAATGGTGAAAATGATGTGAGAACTAGTATAAAAATGACTTAGATATTTATAGGAAAAAATTAGAATTTTAAATTTTGTCTTTAAAAAAACAATGCTACATGACGTCAGCTAGCAGCACAGTTGGGCCTAACTTTCAGGGCTTGCTGGCTGGCTATGTTTGCTTAGCCCTTTGACCATTTGGCTATATTTTGGCCTGGTGGGTCCCAATTCTTCTTATTGCCTTGCCCTCCATTAGAGATGAGTTTTGTGTCAAAACGGGCTATGTTTTGACCTATAATCCTTTGGCCGATTTGGTTAGAGATGGCCTAACCAAGATTTGACATGGCCATCTTTGCCTTAACATCGGTATGTCATGTATCATAATATAAATGAAGAGTATATTTTTTTATTGTTTCTTCACTTTGTATTATGATATTTGATGTACAACATCATAATAGACGGTGACATGAACTGGTAACCTAAATATTGATTTAATATACAGCTCTCACAGACTCACACAATACGTATTTAGAACATTGGATAGAAGGAAAACTTTGTTTTGTAAATACACGTGGTATGACTTACTAGATATAACCCGAGTAGATAAGTACCTCTTACCGAATATTAGAAAAAGTTTGATGTAGAAAAGCCATAATTGGATGGTTCATTGATGCACCGGTTAGGTTTCTCCTATGTATTAGGGTAGGTTCGTTGTATGTTCTTTGAACTTAGGATTCTGTTGTAAATACCAAGTCCCAAATGTGTATATGTAACTGCATCATTATACATCAATGAACTGTCCAATACCATGAGAAACCTAACAGGTGCTAACATTTGAATTCTGTCAAAAATATTTTTAAAGAAAACATAAGTCATAATTGGATGAATGGTTGAAATTTCATGAACTAGAGAGTATAGTTAGGCGAGCTATAAAGCGGACATTTGTTCTTTATTAAAGAAGCAGGCTATTGATACATCATAGATAACGTATTATTATTCTCATCAACAAATTACCAACATGATATCGAAGTTTGGAAGTCCTACATAGGAATTTAGAGCGTGTACGTAAAGAGATAATGCTCGCACTTAGTATAAGCTGCTGTTGAATCACAAAATAAGTTAAATAACACACTCAGTTAAGAAATGTAATTGAATTTGTGAAACTTTGATGACAAGTTTGTATTTCTTGAGTACATGTTATACCAAATGTAGTGATTTTCATGCTTGTTTTCACTTGAACCCCTCATCTTATTTTCGTTCCTTGATTTTTTTTTTTTTTTCCTTCTATTTTTATTGATTCAATCGAAGGGTTACAAAGGAAAAGTAGTGAGAGGACAAAAAGAGTTCGAAAATCAGTTTCCATCAACAAACTTTAACTTTTTTTTTTTGGGTTTTTATCAGGGGCTACTGAAGATAAGTGAGGAGGGAATAATTGAACTGCTGACAGATGAGGCCGAGGGTGTAAAATTCAAGCTGACAGATTGTGTAGATGTAGCAGAAGATGGTATGATTTATTTCACAGATGCTTCATACAAATACAGCTTGGATGAGTTCATTTTGGACATTTTGGAAGGTAGACCCTACGGTAGATTTCTGAGCTACAATCCGCTGACCAAAGAGACCAAAGTGCTCGTTCGCAACCTGTACTTTGCTAATGGAGTTGCAGTCTCTCCAGATCAAAACTATGTCATCTTCTGCGAAACTGTCATGTATGTTTTCAGACTTACGCTTTTTATCGGTAGTGATTCTCACATTCTCAAACGTTTTATGCCTCCATGTATATTCAATCTATAGCTAAAAGAAAGAATGAAAAGTGCAGGGCAAGAAAAGGGGAGTGCGAAAATCAAGTTGTTTTCTGTTTAAGTATATGTGACAAAGTTTTAGACTATGCTACGTGGTTAATATTGCAGGAGAAGGTGTAGGAAATATTACCTTCAAGGCAGTAAAAAAGGGAGTGTAGAAAACTTTATCGACCAGTTACCGGGCACGCCTGATAATATCAGATATGATGGAGAAGGCCACTACTGGATTGCACTGGCCACGGTAAGATTTCTTCTTCTTTATATTTTGAAGAATCACATCAATCTGTTAGTAATGAATAGGGTATCGTTTGAGTAAATGTTTTATTGCTAGACAAATCCCGGTCTGTAAATTTCGACCACAAATTCTTGGATGCATTTTATTCTTGACATTTTTCTATGACAAATTGGCAGGATGTTAAACCATACTGGGATCTAGCACTTCGATATCCCTTTATTCGGAAAGTCCTAGCGATCGTGAAGCGGTATGCAGGAGGCTGGCCACATTTGGAGAAGAATGCTGGCGTATTTGTTGTGAATTTGGATGGGGAGCCGATTGCTCATTACTCTGATCCTGAGTTGTTTCTCATTACAAGTGGAATCAAGATTGGAAAGTACCTCTACTGTGGTTCCGTCTTCTATCCCTACATTATCCGCCTCGATCTGGATCGACATCCTGCACATGCCACCACTTGAGCTAATTCCCAGACTCCCAGTCCCTTGATATAATCTTCAACACGTATGGAATGGTGTTGTAGCTTCCGTAGAGGAACTTAAGCATAGACGAAAGATGCAATGGTAGTGTTCGGTTTTATGTAGATTTGCCTTGCTTACATGCAATAAGGTGACGAAAAGATACCTTTCAGTGACACTTGTTACAACTTTGTTCAAGAGAGGCTGCCCAATGCCTTTGCTTTTTCTCTCAGAATAAAACTTTGAACCTTTCCGGTTGCGGTTTTTGGTATGTCATCGAAAATGACTGTCCGGGGAGCCATGTAATGAGGCAAACGATCACGGCAGAACTTAATTATTTCTTATACAAATGCACAAACAGTCTGTCCCCTATGGTTATAACTTAAGTGTAAGTCCTAATTCTTTATTGTTGTGCTTTTACAAGGAGAGATTCTCTCTTGCAACTAGTGCATACTTCAGTAACATCATCGTCTAAAATGTACTGCCTTTACAAGAAGTGATTCTCTTGCAACCAATGCATAATTTCAGTGCCACAACAGTCTAAAATACTAGTCGCGTGTGAAAAAATAACCCCTTTTTTTTTTTTTTTTTTTTGGGCGGAGAGTGCTAGGCACCTTTGCCACATTTCATTTCAACCTTTTCACTTCTTGTTCGGATTTGGGCAATGGTTAGGGGGTTTGGTAATTTTCATCCGAGAGATTATATTCACACACTTCAAATTCCTTATCCCACACCTTTGTAATTTTAAATCATACGAAATTTTATATGGTAAAATTATTTTTTCTTGAGAAATTTCCAATGTTACTTTATGATGGTTGAAAATTTCGCCCAATTAAAATTTTTTGGGTACCCAATCTCGGTGAACCCAACAAGATGACTAGAAGAGCCCATTGTTCCCCCTTCTTTTTAGTTGTTTATTTATTTACTTTTTTGCCCTCCGGAGCTCAGTTCACTGCCTAATTCAATGTTAAGCACTCGCTCACCTTTCACCAAGCAATGCTCAGCAAAGAATCACTAAAGAAGAAGATAATGATGAATCAGAAGAGATGACTAGAACTGGCGAGGCGAGAGATGAATTCAAATCGCAAGAAGAGATGCCGATAAAGGCGGTATCTGCATCGTTGTCAGGCTGATGAATGTGGATATGGTGGGGGCTTGAACAAGACCGAGGCGAGTCCAAGCAGTGCCACCGTTGGCACGCCAGTGTATCCAACGATGATAGCAGTCTTAGTGGAAGGTATTCGCCGGAGGTTCTGCCATCAGCGTAGCGAGTACCTGTCTCAACACAACACTAATATGTATCTATTGTTGCCCTTTCAGTTTTCATGCCTTGGAGCTGCGTGTGTATGGCAGAAGTTCGCATATAGTTGGTTATCTGAGAACTGCAATTGTATTTGCAAAGAGGGAAGTACAAGCATGGACACAGATGATTGAGAATAAACACGATAGATCGGAACTTTGTATTAAAAACACCAGAATCGGTGTTTATCTTTCAAAATTATTATGAAACAAAACTTGTGAAATATTTAGAGGAGGAAATCAAAGAATTATGTTAAAAGGTTTCAAAATTTATGGCAGGTAAACACTTTCCGTGCCAAATTGAAAAAATGATATGGGGCGATGAACGGTGGCTGAAGAATGGATACCTTATCTTCTCTTCTCTGTCAATCTAACTATCTAAGGCAGCAATGACCGCATCAACAACCTCTTGGGTTGTGCTCTGTCCTCCAAGGTCCTTTGTCCTGCACTTACCCTCCAATATTACTCGTTTCACTGCGGTTTCTAGTCGATCAGAAAATGATGGAAATTGCAGATGTCTCAACATCATGGCGGAGGAGAGAAGGAGGGCCACTGGGTTTGCTTTCTTTAGGTCCATTATTCTCTGATTTCCAACATTTCCTGCTGAAGCGCCTTGCTCGAAAATAGCATGATCAGCCCCAACATTGCCTGCAACCAAAAGACCACAACCATCATCGATAATAGCCTAATACTCACCAAGCAAAACATTGCAGAACATATGGATGGGTTTATATTCCCTATAATTCTGTCATTTGAGAGGTCATTAGGGCAGGCAATTTAAAAGAAGACCTCACCTCCTGGCATAACTCCAGTGCCACCAGCAAGACCAGCTGCTGTATTGGCAACAAGATTGCCATAAAGATTCGGTGTCACCTGCAAAATCAAAATCAGCACGCTTTAGCCACGAAAAACAGTCTCGCCTCTTTGATTTCAAAGACAAAACCGAGATATTTCAATCTAGAAGATCTGTTAAAAAACAAGAATCTGTCAAAATTAGAAAGAAAATTCACACATGAATATTAATTTTACTCCTCCCGAAGTGGTTCGCTCTAAATTTTCCCACCTTCATTTCTAAAGCGAAACCCACTCCGTACTTTCTGTAATTCAAAACAGGCATCATTTTCCCACAAGAATCCACACGGGACAATGTTTTATTACAATCAAGTACTTAACAGAAAGAATGCGGTAACATGCAAAATCGTAGTTTTTGTCTATGATATAACAACGGAACTTCTAAACCTCACAACAGATGCCTCATTTCTGAGGCACCATGGAGTCTGAAAAGTGCTCCGGTAACTGAAGGCCCTGCTTTCCAGTGAATAATAGCATAGATATGCAGCATAAAATAAAACAGATTAACAATTGAATGAATGTAATTGGCATACCATGACATCAAATTGCTCAGGCTTCGAAACAAGCTGCATGCAGCAGTTGTCGACAATGATTTCATTATACGCAACGCTAGGATAGTTTGTGGCGACCTCACGACAAGACTCCAAGAAAAGACCATCTGCAAGCTTCATAATGTTTGCTTTGTGCACAGCAGTCACCTTCTTTCTGTTGTTTAGGTAAGCATACTCAAACGCATATCTAGCAATACGCTCCGAGCAGAACTTTGTGATCACCTAGCACAAGAGTAAGTATAAGTGACGAATATATCCCCGACTATGCAGTATGGAGGGGATACCAAGAAAATCCCTTCAAAATGGCTAGAAATTTAAAGGGCATTTACAAATAGTAATAAACCCATCAAGAACGCATGTTGGCTCCGCACACATTGTGAGAGGAGGTCCTATAATAGTACTATGACGCGAGACAAAATTGAGCGTCACATGATGAGTGAGACACTGACATGAAGATATATGTCGGAGATGGATAACAATCCTAAGCTAGGATAGTGTCAAGCAACAGTCTTTCCAATTGTTCCACAATGTGGGAGGGGCCCACACAGGTTGGTGGTGCAATACCAACAATCAGTCACAGGAGAGTATAATTTTACTCACTACCATTTGCCAAACATGTGTCAAGTTACATGCCTCACATTATATATTAATCATGATTACATTCCCAATTAGTGTTAAACATAGGTAATTAAACTAGAAAACGACAAAATTCAATCAAATAATCAAATAACAACAAAACCCAAAAATATAATTGAATTAAAAATGCAAAAATGCAAAAATCCCAGTGATTTGATGATACCTTAAGGCTTTCAACGACGCCAGGAATGACCTCGTGTTCGAGCCCAGAGTACTCGCCCTCAGTATTCTCCCTGATCACGACAATATCGACATTCTCGTGCTTCGTCACCAGCCCCGGCAGATTGAAGCAGTTGACGAGGGAGGCGTAGAGATCGAGCTCCCTCCTCAGCTGCAAATTGAGAGAGCTCACGCCGCCGCCCATGGGCGTCGCCAGCCCGCCCTTCAAGCACACCTTGTTCTTCTTGATCGACTCCATCACCTCATCCGGAACCTTCGGCATGTCGCCGTGGACCTCGAAGGTCTCGAAGTAGATTGGCGCATGCATTGCGTCCATGACCTGCTCGACGGCGTTGGTGACGAGAGGACCGATTCCGTCGCCGGGGATTAGTGTTACGGCGCGAGGGGCGCCGTCTCCAGGGCGGGGCATGTAGGTTACGGATCGGGTTGGGTTGGAGGTGGAGGAGAGGGTTGGGGCGGTTGCTTTCGTGAGGAGGTGGCGGAGGAGTTGCACGGATCTGCGGGCCATGGCGGCGACTTCGGGGGTCCAGGTGGGAGAGGGTGTGGGGTTCGTTTTGAGAAGTCGTGATATGATGGTGGTGATGTATTTATGCCGAATCAGAAAGAGGAGAGAGAGAGTGACAGAATTATGAGATTCTGGAGAATAATTACCTTTTAATTAAAAATTAATTTGTTAATTAATGGGGAACGGAATTTTTTTCGAATCTTCTTTGTCTAGAGATCTTTTAATTGTGTTCGTTTATTGTAAATCATACGGTTAGAAATTATTTTAAATTTTTTATTTAAAATTAAATACAAATGATACTTAACGAAAATTGATCGTACGATTTACGATAAACGGACACAATTAAAGAATAGACTTAGATTGTCTACCCTCCCATCCCATACATTTCTCATCCCCTCTTATATTTTTTAGTTACAGTTAAGTCACGTCAATATTTTATATTTTTATTACTTTTTATTTTATTATTTCTATAAAAATAATATAAAATGTTAACGTAACTTAATCGGAACTACAAAAATAAAAAATGATGGAAAGGATACGGGATGAAAAGGCCAAATCCTTAAAAAATTCTTAGAATTCTCAAAAAAGAATTGATTCCGGAGAAAAATGGGAAAAGTGATAGAGGATGGTGGGCCACAATTGGTGAGGACCGTTCATGATGGTGGGACCGGGAGCGGGGGGACGGCTGGACCGAGAGCGGAGGTCGACGAGGAGGGAAAGCAGGGGCAGAGAATTGGCGCGGGAAAAGGCGCCACTTTTGCGGAGATTCGTATTGACTAATCCTTTATTCGGGATGTTCAGCATTCGGGGTGCCCTTTATTCATTAGTGCCATAAGCATAAAGACGTTGCAATAAAAAAAGTCTAATTTCATTTTAGAGGTACTGTATAATGTTGAGGTCGAGTCTAATAACGTTAGCTTTTAATTAAATATGATAATAAAATGATTTATTATATAAAATGATACGTTGTATAAAAAGAGATGAGTTTGGTTGGACCTTTACAAGGCACACTCTGCCTGCACTTTTGGTACGCAGTAAGAGCATCTTCTCTGGAAGTTTCTATTTAGAAACTATCACCGTCAACTTTGATGACTTATTTAGGAACTTTAAAGGAATAGTCCTTAAAAAGTATTGTCTGCAATAGGATGTTCTTATAGTATAATCTCTAAATATAAGAACTAAATTATTAAAAAAAATCATTTCGTCGAGCATTGTGGCCATTTTGATAAGATATATCTCTACCGTTGATTTTCCAACGGTTCAAACAAAAAAAAAAGGAAGCCATAGGAAAAAATCCACAATGAGAATCCAACATAAGCGGGTTCAAAAACCAAAAAGAGCAGTTGCTGTGCAGTATTCCTTTCCCACTCAAAATCAACAAGGGGTCCACTTTTTGAGTTCTTATATATAGTTCTTGCATTTAAAGGTTTCTTTGGGGCTCTCACTTTATATATATAGATAATTAATAAATTTGATTTGATAAGATAATACGAATTCAATTCTACTCTTAATCTCATATAGGTTTTTTTTAGTTTATTTATACAAACGATGTTAGAAGAAGAGTTGAATTTTGCACGTAATATAAAAATCTAATCCTCTCAACTTTTTGGGCCTATAGATGCTGACAAGTTTCCGTGGGTGAGTCGGAAATGCATCAGCTCATATGTATTTTTATATTCGTATGAGGAATTCAATTCAAATACCAGTACTCTCTCATCTGATAGATCAAATGATCTGTTGAATAATGAATATATAGAGAGAGGGGAATGTCCCTGGCCGTTTACATGGCCATATACAACTGGGGAATGTCCGTGTCCCAATTGATTCCCTTAGTGCCTTTGCTTTTCGGCTTTAATAATTCACGTGCCTCTTCTACAGTGCTTATTCAGTAGGTAAGAGTAAAATTAAGTCCGTTAGCATCCTGTGTTGAATTATTATATATAGAAAAACAAAAAAGAAAAGTGTGAGAGGAGAATAAGGAAGGGAAGGATAATATCACGTGAGAAAATCCTACTCCTATTCAGTAATGCAGTTATAGAGACTTCGTTTGTCCTACTCACTTAACTTGTCACCTTGTGTTTATTCAGTAGGAGTTGGATTAAGTCACGTTAACATCTTGTTTTGAATTTTTTCTTATAGAGAAAAGGACAAAAATGAAAAGTTTGTAAGGAGGAGAAGGAATGAGATGATAATAGAATGGGAGAGAATCCTACTCTTATTCAGTAACTCAGTTGTGAAGACTGCGCTCGTCCTACTCACTTAACTTGTCGCCTTGTGTTTTGCAACGAGAAAGCGTTGTCACTCTTACAATAATTTATCAAATCCAGTTTCACTAGAAATAGAATTTCCAATGCAATGCATATTTATTACGTCTAATAAATACCAGTCACATGCTCAAACAGTATATTATCCAATCAATATATATACATATATATATATGTGTATATAATCACACAATAAATTAGTGAAATGATAGAGCCTCTCGTCACCAAAACACGTCACCAAGACACCAACACTCATCAAGTTTGTTTTATTCATTTACATCGGTGACATAATTTACCCCTTAATTTAAAAAAAAAAAAAAAAAAGACTCTATTCTCCAACATGACGATCACTATCTTGTATGAGTTGTTTGAACACCTTAATCAATTTCAGTAAGAATTAATGATAAATTAAATACATTAGATGTGGACCATCATTGCCCCTCATTCCCTAAGATCCAAATTATTGAGATTTGGACTTAGTAAACGCAACTTCTTGAACAAAATGCGTCATGAATTTGGGTTGAAAACAATATTGAAAGATCATTGTCAAGATGTGGAATTCAACTCTTCGATACCTACTTGAAGTTGGCAAATCTTTTATGCTAGAAGCAAATTGACTAAAATTCCACCAAAGATGAGTTGCATACATTAGTATGAATTGTCTCGATAAATACTAAAAAGAGGCAGCGGGAATTGGACTTCCCCTGGGGATAGGGCGAAAGGAAGTTGGCCAAGGATCACTAGTAAGTCTGGAATTGATTCTTCTTAGGTAGATGCTCGAGTGGTTAATGGGCAACTATAAATTCGTTGGGAATATGCTTTCAAATCCAACTCGGTATATGATCTAATATTCTAGTGGATATGGTATTCGTTTTCCACTCATACGTCTCCGGATTCAAAACTCCCCATTTCTTAAATTATTGTAATTGAACTATGTTAAATTCAAGCTGGGAGTGACAAGATTACGATTTTACCTGAATAGAGGCCAAAATGTGGTCGAATGTGGCTGGAAAATGGCCTGGAAGTCTCGGCCTGTTTGGGCTTCTTCAAATCCATGACAGATTCGAGCATTCAAAGCTAAAATCTCGGTCTAGGGATGGTGATGAATTTTTTGGCGGTGCTAACTTCATTCAATTTAACGAGGGTTGGCCGGAAAACACATTGGGAAACCTACAACTCGTCGGGAAAATTGGAGCCGTGAGGTTCCATTCGAACAACACATAGCTAGAGAGGGAGGAAGGACAGAGAAATAGACACTGGTATCAATAAGGAGTTTGACCAGGAATGAGAAAAAGACATGAATTGAGAGGTTTAAGAGGAAAAAAAGAGGGAGAGGTTGGGATGATGAGAGAAGAGGAAAAGAGTGGGACAGAAATGGTAGGAAAAGATGAAGAAAAAGATAAGATCATAATAAAATATTAATAATTTATATATTAAATAATATAATATTAGAATTTGTTATTATCCAGCTTCTTAGTTCAATATTGCACCAAACGCTTCACTTAGTTAGTCCGGTTTAGTCTAGTCTAAGCCAGTCCAGCTTAGTTCTTGAAGCTAATCCAGTCCGAGATAGTTCGGCGCAACAAACGCCCCCTAACAGTATTGCGATCAAAGAAGTCTATTAATTTACTGGAAATATTAAATAATCGATAATAGCTTACTAACTTATCAAGATATTCTTTTTTTTTTTTTTTTTTATAATATTGTACTCATATTTAGTTTCTCGTTTATGAATTAATAATTAATATGCAGATGACACTTTATCACACTAAAAAAAATATTTAGACCTATGTACTTTTATGCTGATTCGATCTCCACCGACTCTCATTTCCCTACCAAATAACTTTTTACCTAATAACGTTCTCGCTGAACCCAAAAGAAAAAGAAATTAATATTCATAAATTTACTTATTTTTTTCAAAAACAAGTTTATACATCATTTAAAACCCACACCCGCACATGATATGAACCATCCATTCTCAAAGAATTCATCAGAAACGCTCGCACCCTCCGCGTCTCAATCTTCTTCTCCATCTTCCCTTCCTCCCTTCGTTTCCATCCACGACAATTTCACGCCAAAAATATCCAAAAAAATATAACAAAAAAACGCAGCAGTGTCATCACACCACGAGGACCACGCCACGACTTTCCGCCACACACACACAAACACCGCCCTCACTTTCTCTCTCTACCCCCACTCTGTTTTTTCCATGAGGGATTCGATCCCTTCCTGAAAGCGCCGTCCTTTCTTTCAATCTCTCTCATGGCTTGCGTGAGCGATGAGAGCTGGGTCGCTCTCCCCAAACTGCTCTCCGACCGCCTCTATCTCCGGGAAGACGATCGCCGCGACGACGACGACGACGAGCCTGGGTTTTTCGGGTCCGAGTCCACAGCGTACCGGTTGGAGAAGGTTTTTCCGGTTTATGCATTGGGGATTTCGAAGCCTGCGTCCGACTCCGTTGTTGGACCCGCTTCCGTTTCTGGCGACCCGATTTGGGATGCAGTAAGGGAAGAGGCCAAGTTGGAGGTAATACAAATTGCAAAGCAATTTTTTCGCTGGAATTTTTTTAGTTAAACTCGAAAATTAGTTTGTTTCTGGAAGCACTTTTTGCTCAGAAGTGCTTTACTGAAAATACATCGAAATTCAAGTACTTACCGGGAAAAAAAGAAGCAAATTAGAAGTATTTTCTGGATAAGCGTATGTCAGGTGCTTTTTCAGAAAGCATTTCTAATGCTCAGGCACTTCTCTGCTAAACAGGAAAACATCTGCTTGTAAGCGCTTATGCTTATGCTCATAAGTGCTTTCGTTGAAAACATGTTGAAGTTCAAGTGCTTCCCGAAAAAGTAATTAGAAGTGTTTTCTAAATGAGCATTTGTCGTGTGCTTTTTCAGAAAGCATTTCTATGACTGAAGCACTTCTAACTTTTTCTTCAAACGCACTCAAAAACGCTTTTAGCTTTTGAAAGCAGTCCCAAACAGGACAGGTTGAAGGTTTTAAGTTACTAATGGAATCCCATTAACTATTTTGTTTCGAATTTAGTTTTGTTTGGTGGGTTTTTAGTGATTTTTTTTGGATTTTAAACATTTCAGGCAGAAAAGGAGCCAATTTTGAGTAGCTTCTTGTATGCCAGCATCTTGGCACATGATTGTTTAGAGCAGGCGTTGGGGTTTGTTCTCGCCAACAGACTGCAAAACCCGACGCTTTTGGCTACTCAACTGATGGATATATTCTATGATGTGATGCTGCGTGATGAAGATATTCAGCGATCCATTCGGTTAGATGTGCAGGTGACTTCAAATTTGTTTCAAAAATGTTATGGTTAACTATGTTTCTATTTGGATAACTAATGGAAACTCTGTTGTATTGTTTTACAATTTTTTTTCATCAGGCATTTAAAGACCGTGATCCGGCCTGCTTGTCATATTGTTCAGCCCTATTGTATCTCAAGGTATTCTGCTCTTGCTCTTTAGTTATGTCGTCGAAGAAAATGAAAATGAATGATATAATCAAGCATCCATCACTCTAATTTCTGATCATTTTTTCGCCTTTTACTTTTGCAGGGCTACCATTCTTTGCAAGTACATCGAGTAGCTCATTCGATGTGGAATCAAGGACGTAAAGTATTGGCCTTGGCATTGCAAAGCCGAATTAGTGAGGTAGTTTCCTTTTTGGTATCCTTGTTGAGCATTACTAGCTGTTTTATAGGTTTGCGGTTTTCTGTTCTCCTTCTAATCTATAAACCATTTTATCCTAGGTCTTTGGAGTGGACATTCACCCAGGTATGCTCATTTCTTCTCTGCAACCTGTAGGCATCATGATGTTAAGTTTGTCACGATACAGTAATTGAAACTTAAGCACAAAACTTGATTTGTTTTCCGAAAATGGCTGTCGTCTGTAGAATTTGCATCTAAGGGAGACCGTAAAACTAACCTTTATAATAATTTCTCTTTGGTGGTTTTTCTATAGCTGCAAAAATTGGAGAGGGAATACTGTTGGATCATGGTACTGGTGTGGTTATTGGCGAAACTGCTGTTGTAGGAAACAGAGTTTCACTGATGCACGTGAGTCAATTTCATAATTCGTTTCTGTTTCAGTTTATGGGTTGGTTTGCGTTGTGCTGAAAAGAACTTGTTGATAACGAAGAACTGTGTATTCTGCTTTTATCAACAGGGTGTGACTTTGGGGGGAACTGGGAAGGAAATTGGTGATCGTCATCCAAAAGTAGGTGACGGCGCACTAATTGGAGCCAGTGCAACTATACTTGGGAATATCAAAATAGGTCGAGGAGCAATGGTAGCTGCTGGTTCGCTTGTGCTGAAAGATGTCCCTCCACACAGGTAGAATGTAATTTCGGTTTTTTTCAGTACAGTAATGTAACTAATGCTCCTGAATATGTAATATTTACTCCATTTACAATCATGAAAGTGACATTTCTTTCTCTGGTACTGAAGCATGGTGGCAGGAATACCAGCAAAGGTGATTGGATATGTAGACGAAATAGATCCTTCGTTAACAATGAAGCACGGTATGTCATATGGTTGGGAAGCTATGAATAATTGTTCTCATTCAGCGTTTGTGGTATACGTTTTATTTAGAATTAGGATACTGAGATTAAGGCGAGAAAGTTAGAAGGTAAACACGTATTCATGATCATCATGTCTCACATGCAAATTTTCTTGTTATGAATATGCAGATGCTACCAAAGAATTTTTCGAACATGTAGCTGTGCAGCGTAGAGATACAAGACCTGCTGGTTCGTGTGGCTGATAATTTTCATTTTATAGGCCCTCAAGAAACTGCTCCCTTTATTAATTCTTTGCCGCTCAAGATCTGGTAATTGTTTTCAGGGGGTCAGAGCTCGGGAAGAATTGATGGGAGCATTTGAAATATGTAGTTAGGCGTAGATCTTCGTTCCTAAATTGCTAGCGTGAAGGCAGTTTGTGGTCTTCGGAGGGGAAGATGACTTATTTTATCAGCTTGAAGTATACAATTTCATTAAGCATGTTCACCCTTCTGCTACCTATGCTGATGCTGAGGTTCTTGTACGAGCGGTTTAAAGTACTGGGGATTTTAATCTAAGCTCCTGGTTAACTTCTTTTTTTCTACCAAAACAAACAGCGAGGACCAGCAGCAAGTTTTTTACCGATGATCCAGAAAGAATGAATCCCCTGATCGGATGAGAAGTCGAAGGTAGTTGAGGGTCGATTATTTATGTTATCGTAGTCAAACTGAACTGCATTAATGTTTTGAATGCATCAGAAGAATAGAAACTGATAGGAGTTCTGAGTCAGTCATATTTTTCCCTGTTGGTGGGTGAACAATGTAATCTTTCCATATGTGACAATGGCTCATTAATTTACCGCAATCTTCCTGAAGAACTCCGAACAAACATGCAGCACAAACACGAAAATATCCACGACCCTTGTAATTGGCTGATCAGCTTGTTTATTTTCCCTTACTGCATCCAACCTCTCCCTCCCATCCCTCGTCGATTCAACAAGTGGTTTGTTGCTTAGTTCTTCTATACGTGGAGTCAGATTCTCCAAGGTGCCAAAATTAGTTTTGCCAAAAACACTTTTAGTCATTCTAAAAGCACTTCCAAACGAGCCATTGTCTTGTTCGTTAGAGTGACACAACACATTGTGCCTACTTATACCTCCTATTAATTTAACTCCCCTACTAAGAATACAAAAAATTTGGTATTTGGGCCTGAAAATTTCAGAGCTTTGGGCTTGATGGTTGAAAGTGAAAACATCCAATTGCAATTCGGGTGCAAGGATAGTTGGGGTTATCATGTTAATTACTAAAACACCCTTACCAACTTAAATTATTACGTCTCTCGCGACGATGACATCGGCCACGTCCTCCCGGTCCACCGTGAGAGATATAGGCTATAGCGGTCTACCATATGCAAGTCCGTCCAAATACGGCACCATTTATCAGCCCCGCGCTGTGTCTGTTTGCGACTCTGTGTGCCTGGCTTGGCTAGAGTCGGACCCCCAGCCGAGCAACAACGGCGATCTCCATTTCCACTCTCCGCCCTGCGCCGAGAGATCTCCAATTCTCCGACCACCAAGACGGTACCGTTTAGTAATCGCTTCGGATATAAGCACTGCCGGTTTCGCTGAACTGGCTCCGCTGTTTGTTTCGGTTGGGATCTGAAACGTTTGTCTCTCTCGGATTGAAACGGAGCGTTTAACAATGTCGACGACGGAGGTCGACGGCCAAATGGAAGAGCATTCGAATGTGGATTCGAAACCGCTGAAGAGCGGAAGCAACAGCAATGGAGATCTCGCGCAGGAGAATGGCGGCCCGGACTCGGGCGACACTCACGATCAACTCGTCCAGACGGTCATGGAGCTAAAATTGCAGAACGAATTCCTCAAGTCTCAGTTCGAAGGACTTCGGAATCTTAAACCGCCGGAGCCGGAAGGTGGCGAATCGGAGGAGGTGAAGCAGCTGCGGCAAACGATTGAATCGCTGAATGTGGAACTTTTGGAAGAGAAGCAAACGCGAGCTGCGGCGGAAGTGGCTCTGAAGCATCTTCAGGAATCGCACTTTGAAGCAGATTCCAGAGCTCAAGAGCTCTCTGTAAAGCTCGCTGAAGGTCGGTTTGTGCTTCTTCATTTGTACATTTCTTGTTTCCGTTGGAAAATTTAGCTAATTCCGAAATTCACTATCTTTCGGAATCTGCATATGTCGGAACTGTTTGCTGTTGCTTTTGTGTAGCTCGACAGAAGTTGGATCAAGAAATAAAAGAGCGGGAAGAGAAGTACTCCGATCTTGACTCGAAATTCACCCGGCTTCACAAACGAGCTAAGCAACGGATTCAAGATGTTCAAAAGGTAAATTATCTCGATTATTTCTATCGAACTTTTTCTTGTTGTGTTAACTGCCGTTTGAATTAAGTTATGTTGGTTCGATATTGTCTTCTTCTTGTTTTCCTCAGGAAAAAGACGATCTCGAGGCTCGATTTCGTGAAGTAAATGAAGCAGCTGAGCGTGCATTGTCTCAGCAGACGGCATTGCAGCAAGAGCTGGACAGAACCAGGCAACAAGCGAATGACGCACTGAAAGCAATTGATGCAGAGAGGCAACAACTGAGAAGTGCAAACAACAAGTAAATCTTCAGTTAACTTCCAACCGTGGCCAATTCGTGTATATCTAAAGAAAATCGTAACTGTTCCTTTTTTTACTCTTTTTTTTTTCACCTTAACTGTGATTATGCTGCCGACATTCAGACTACGAGACAACCTTGAGGAATTGCGGAACCAGTTGCAACCAAAGGAAATTGCTATTGAGACATTGCAACAAACAGTTTCAGATAAGGAGCAGGTATGATTGTTTGTGCTTATCCTTTGGGATGTTCAGTTTCTGACTGCAAAACTATTCGGTTGATGGATCAAGAAGTCCATTATCCTCTTGTTTTTGTTTTCCGTCTGTGGATGTTTGCATATGTGCTTGGGCCTTAGTGTAACGTCCATGTGAAACCGAAAAGAATATATATGTTATTGCTATCTTGCATTTGTCTCAGATGTTGGAAGACATGAGAGGGATGCTGCAGGCTGCTGAAGAAAAAAGGCAAGCTTCATTAGCTGAACTCTCTGCTAAACATCAAAAGGTGTATTTGCATTTGTATGCCTAATTAGCAGTCCTCTTTGTTTATAATTGTAGTCCCTGCCATTACATTCACCCATAAATTGTGTTTTAATACCTTTTGTCTCTGTTTCTTTCAGAATTTGGAGAGTTACGAAGCCCAGCTTGCTGAAGCTTCGACTGATAGAAATAAAGCAACTGAAACCATTTCTTCACTGCAGGTGAGAGCTTTAATCGTAATGTTCACTCCATCTTTGACAACTTATGTAGAATATAGATAGGGCTGAAATTTCTTTTTGAAAACTATTTCTCATTCACAAGTCTTCTAGGAACAGTGTAGCATGCTGAACCTTAGATTGTGTCTAGAAAAAAACCATAAACACGTTAAATCAAGCTCGAGTCTTCCACTCCTTTCAATTGCAGCTCTTTATTATTATTATTATCTTTATAATCGAATGTTATAAAACCCCACTGGATATACAAGGAGCTGGAAAGTTGGCTTCAGAAACAATAAAGTAGAAGTGGATTACTAGCTTCTTTATCCTTTATCTTTGCATCAATATGGGATAATAGTTTTACACCATTATATAGTTTGACTGAATGTTTCTGTAATTGTAAAGGGATCAGACTAACTAGCGAATGTAATTCTCCAGATGCTAGTTGCTGAGAAAGAATCTAAGATTGCAGAAATGGAAGCAGCATCAACGGGTGAGGCAGCAAGGCTTAGAGCCACGTTGGAAACTGTTAAAGGCGAGCTTGCTCACCTGAAACATGAACATGTACAACTCGAACTTAGGATAAGTAAAAACTTATGCAGATGGATTATTGCATTATGGCTGCCAGGATAAGAATTTTGTTTCTTTTTTTGTGAAAAAAAAATATCTTATTGGCAGACCATGATGTGTTCCTTATTTACTATCAGCCTTGCCTTCGGTTACTTTATAGCTTCTGGCTTTTGGGATATGCTGCTTCTAATTTTTTATATCCTAAAATTTTTATTATTATTTCAGGAGAAAGAAAAGGAGAGCTGGGAAGCTGCCACCCGAGCTCTGAAAACAAAGTTAGAAATTTCTGAGAGCAACCGGATATGTGCTGATATTGAAGTAGCCAAAATGAGAAGTATTCTCTATTCCTTGCTGAATTTCATCTGTTTAGATAAGATATCTGTGTATATATGTATATCAGTATCACATACTTTTCTTATTGGGCAGGCCAGCTGGAGTCAGAGGTGTCTGCACAAACACAAAAGCTTGATGCGAGGGATGCTGAACTTGCAGCCCTCAAGGAAGAGGTTTGAATTTACTCTTTTGGAATCCGCCTCTCTTCTGTTAACGTTTGATGACTGTCGAAGTGTGCAGAGAGTATATGTTTTTATCCTTCCCCGTCTCCCTTTATTTTCAATGGGGTTACTTAGTGAATATATTGATGGTAATAATAACAGTTTTAGTAAATAACACTTATTTTCAGAAGCGGGATAACCATTGTTTGTTTGGGACACGTTTAGTTTAGAGCTAACAGCAGTTACTTAAATGCTCATGCATTCTTGGAATCTTCCATTCCGACATGGATATAGTTTGCAACCCTGGTTCAGGGGCTATGTTGTTGCGTAACTTTACTGCAAATTTTGCAGTACTATGTTGTTGAAAATGAAGTTGCTTACATTTAAGTATCTCTTGATCTGTCTTCTGTCCTCGTATGTTTGACCTATTATTTCCTGCAGATCAACTGCCTTGAACGTGAGTTTTCTTCTTACAAAAGCCGTGCTCATGCGCTTCTCCAAAAGAAGGATGCAGAGTTAGCTGGAGCTAAAGACTCAGAGCAAGTCAAAGCTCTTGAAGAAGCACTGAAAGTGTGTGCCTGCAATTAATCTTTATTTTTGTAGCATGAAGAAAATCGTGATCTGACACACGCATCTGAGAATTATTATTAATTACACACACACACACACACACACACACATATATATATATTTATATATATTTTGTGTTCTGTAGGATGCTGAAAAAGAAGTATCGTCTGTGAGTGCTGAAAGGAATAAGGCCCTTCAAGATCTTAAGGAGGCTTTAAAGAATCATGATAAAGAAATAGCAGAAAGGTAAAGTTATAATCTGCTACAGTTAGCTTGCCAAATTTGGGATTGTTTTCAAAATTTCCTAATAAGACCAATGCAAAAGGCAATATAATTATAAGGTAAGTCAATAAAGCACCGTGTGCTAGTACATGCTACTGCTCTGACAATTTCAACATTGCAGTGTTTTTAACTTGTACCCAATTTTTTACCATTTTCATGACCAGAATTATTTTAATCATGGTGGCTGTTCCTTCTCAATGTAGTTTGAACTTTGAACCTTGTTTGTTGCTTTAAAGCCTTCCACTTTTCATGGAGCGTTGTTTGATTCTGCAGAGAGTTAGGTAATAAACTTCTGTGAAGTTTTAAGCAGTGATCTTGATCTTTCAGTTCCTTACTTGTTACAGAGATGCTGCTCTTTACAATGCCATGCAGCAGATCAAGAGCTTAGAATCAAAGCTTGAATCTGCTAATGCCCATTACCGATCAGCAAAAGAAGCATGGGAAGCGAACCTTAATAGTTTGGAAGAAACTTGGCGGGGTAATATTTCCTTGCTAATCTACTTACATATATTTTGTTCTCTTTTATTTCCCTTTCTATGCTTATCCTATTCCTTGGTCTAGGAAATACTTATTGTTCAAAGTTTGAGAGCAGTTATTCATGGAATAATCATTTTTTCAGTAAGATGTGACACGCTGAGAGCTCAAAATGAATCATCTTCTGGAGATGATATCAAAAAAGAATTGGAAGAGCTCAAATTACGGTATAAGAAGCTGAAGGTAAGTTGCGATAATCTTTCATATTTTTTTCCTGATACAATGTGAGTATTTGTTATCTCTTAATTGTGTTCACCATTTCTAGGAGGAGCACAGTTCATTTCGTGATCTTGCTGATAGAATGATTGAGGAGAAGGACAATGAAATTTCTAGACTTGTGGATGATAATAAGAATCTTCATCAATCATTGGAGTCAAGACCACGGGTAGGTTCTTTTTCTCGACTGACATCCAAACTTTATCTTTGCACTTTATTGTTCTGATGGTGTTTTTTTTTGATATGACCTTAGGCTGATCGCAATGATAACTATAACACAGGTAGATGGATCCTGAGTACAATTTCTTATTATCTGTTCCAATTAGATAAAGAGTTTCTGTATTACTGGAATTATGGAAGTTTTGACCTTCTGGGGTTAGTGGAGTTCTAACGTAACAATTTCTTTTTTGACATTGGTGTACTCAGGCATGAATAAGCAGGACGCAGCAAGTATAAGCACTGCTGCTGCAGAACAGCAGATTCTGGTAATTATATAGTTTCTGATTTCTTTTACCGCGAAAAAATATTGGGACATTCCTAGGGAGAACTTGGGTTTTTCATTGAACCTTGTTAGCATGGCTTGCCATGCGAGTGATTTTGTATTTGTTCTCCAAACTAAGACAAGAGGGCTCGATCAAATTAGAGTGTCCATGTGATTCATTTTTTGTTGTGATGAACTTGATGGTATATGAGTTATTACTATTGAAGACTTGTAAACTGTTTTTCTCCTTTTCGTGCTGTGGATCCAAATAATCATGTGCTGGCGTAATACGAATTTCAGATTTTGGCAAGGCAGCAAGCCCAAAGAGAGGAAGAGCTAGCACAGTCCCAACGGCACATTTTAGCGCTTCAAGTGTGTAATCCCCCGTCTTGATTGCTACTTCACTATAGTGTACTTCTGATATATGTTTATTGTTTCAACTCAGGAGGAAATTGAGGAGCTGGAGCGTGAGAATCGTCTGCACAGCCAACAGGTACCAAGAAGCCTGGTTTTTGCAGATTTTTGGCCCTACTCTTTTGGCTTGGTTGATTTCAAGTTGTTTGGGAATTGTTTTTTGTAATTTTGGTAAATTTATAGAATGTGAGCAGTCAGTAAATTTATCATGAATTTAGCATATCCAAAAGGAAAATGCTGGTATCACCAAACATATTTGTTTGCTTTTCTTAATATATATTGATCTGATGAATGTCATGCATATATGTAGGAATCCATGTTGCAGGCTGAGCTTCGGAACATGGAAAGATCGCAGAAGAGGGAAGGAGTAGATATGACCTACCTGAAAAATGTAATCTTAAAGCTTCTTGAAACAGGTATTTTTATGAAAAGTTTTTATAACAACCGAAGTCCATATTTTTTGTTATGTAATTTTGCTTTTTGCTACATTCAAACAATCGTTTAATGAGACGTGAACATACGAGTGGCGTTGGAAAGTCTGAATGTTTTTATTATTCAAATAGGTGAAGTGGAGGCTCTATTACCTGTAGTTGCCATGCTTCTTCAATTTAGTCCGGATGAGGTAAAATTCTGATCTCCTACTTGATGCCGTATAGTTACCTGTTTATGGCATTGTTAGGGTTCCTGTGTCATTTTACTAGATTATCAATTGCATTGTAATTTTTTCCATTTTATATACTAATGCAGTTGCAGAAGTGTCAGCAAGCATACCGCACATCGGCAGACGTTCCTCCTAGCCCTGCTAGTGATACTTCAGGATCCGGTGTCTCTCTTTTCTCAAGATTCTCATTTTCATAACCGTAGACATGAAGATTGTAGAGAATTCTTTGCAAGGAAACTAGCTGCGACAGCTAAACAACTGGTTGCCTCCAGATTCAGAGGCGGTGCAGGTGCGGCCGTAGTATATCTTGTATTCTTTGATAACAGCAAACGTTAAATGTAAAGTACGACAGAACCATATACATTGTGAAAAGATAGCGAGAGATGGAGTGAACAGTTTCTGGCCGTGCCGGGTTATTCCATCCGGAATGAAGCCCCCCTTCCCCATTGATTTATTGTAGAGTGTAACAGAAGCAAAGGCATGATTTTGGAGATGATATCGGAAATTTGAACGTGCGGTTTTACTCGACATCTGATATTACGAGTGATCTTTGCTAGTGAGATGGTAGTGTCATTATTCAGCTCAGCTCGTCGTTTCTTTTTCCTCAGTTCGCACTCTTGTACACAGCAATTGCATGTCATTGTTTTTTAAGCAGCCAAGTGATTATTTCTTTGTTTTGTTTCCATGGTTGTGAATCAATGTGAGTTGTGACCAACCATTTCACCATCTGGTGGTTCGGGGCAGGTACGCGAGGATGGGACTTGTCCACGATAAATATGCAGTCTCCATCTGTGATACTGTACAAAAGTAAACGCTCTTAAACAACTGGCAATTGAGCTAGAAGAGCATCCAGGACATTAAGATCAGCATCAGATCTCTCGGGCCGATTTTTGTCCGTGCTCGACGGGTGGGTCTTGCATCATTTGTCCCACTGGAAGAATATCCGATATCCGATAGGACATTAACATCTATGCCTTTCGGCGTAACTTGCTCAAAGATTTTTGCAATTTTCCAGTGTTAGATATTTTTTTCTTCAAATAGCAAAGATGGAAAGTCAACAACGTTACCAAAGATTAAAAGCTACGTGAGAACAAGAAAAAACCAAAGAATGGTTAAAAGGGAAAGACCACCGAACACTATTGAAGAGCAGGCATAACTCGACAAGCAAACAACTTACCTTGCCTGGGGCAGCGTGGTTTTTCTACTTTTAAACTCGGAATTTGGATCTCCTTCAGATCTCACCGTCCAGATTCCGGAGGATAAAAAATCCGGACTCTTTGTTTGTATGAAAGAGATATCGGAACTCATGGTTTGTGTTAGGTGGACCGACAAAATAAGTTTATAGAGACGGTCGAATTCAGTTTGAGTGGTCTTAGTTGCCTAGTTCTTAATATTAGATTAATTTAAAGCACCGCTCGAAAAGTAAAAACAATTGACAAACTTTACTCACTGAAGAATTGTATTATTCATTACTCTCAGCTTATGACAACAAAAATTAAACATGAGAAATTGGTCTAAATCCCTAAAACTTGTGGCACATTGACTTGGTCCCAGACGACAATAATTTCATAAACATCAGACAACAAACACTTGGGAAAAACAAAAACAAATCTAGTAGAAATTAATGTTTCAAAACAAAATCGATGTTTTAAGCATGCTTTGTCTGGAACTCCTTCATGAAAGCAACCAACTTCTCCACCCCAGCCAATGGCATTGCATTGTAAATCGAAGCTCTCATCCCTCCCACCGACCTATGCCCTTTCAGCTGCACCATCTTCTCCTTCGCCGCCTCCTTCACAAACTCCGCCTCCAACTCCGCCTTCTCCAGCGTAAAAGGCACGTTCATCAGCGACCTCACCGACTTCTCCACCGGGCACCGGTAAAACCCCTTGCTCTCATCGATGGCATTGTACAGAATGTCGGCCTTCCTCTTGTTCTTCTTCTCAATCTCCACCAACCCGCCCTGCTCCAGCAAATCCTCGAACACCAATCCGCACATGTAAATGCCGTAGCACGGCGGCGTGTTGTACAACGACTTGTTCTCGTCGTGAATCTTGTAGTCCAGCATCACCGGCGTCACCGGCTGAGCATTTCCGATCAGATCCTTCCTGATGATCGCAATGGTGACCCCAGATGGGCCCACATTCTTCTGCGCCCCAGCGTAGATGATCCCGAATTTGGAAACGTCCACCGGCTTGGAGCAGAAATTGGAGGACATGTCGGCGATGAGAAGGCCGTTTTTCGGATTCGGGTACGTTTTGAACTCGACGCCGTGGATTGTTTCGTTGGCGCATATATGCAAATACTTGGCGTTCTCGCTTTGCTCCAATTCCTCAAAAGCTGGAATCTTTGTGTACTTTTCGGATTTCCCAGACCAGATCACTTTCGGCTTCGAATACTTCTGCGCCTCCTTGAACGCCTTGTCGCCCCACGACCCGGTTACCAAGTAATCGACTTCGTCGTCGGGTTTGCAGAGGTTGAGAGGGATGGCGGCGAACTGGGTAGTGGCGCCGCCTTGGAGGAAGAGGACGGAGTATTCGTCCGGGATGTTGAGGAGGGTCCGGAGGTCAGACTCGGCCTTCTGGATTATGGAGAGGAACTCTTTGCCTCGGTGGCTCATTTCCATGACGCTCATCCCAGATCCGCGCCAGATGTAGAGCTCCGATTGAGCCTTGCGGAGAACGTGTTCGGGGAGAATGGCGGGTCCGGCGGCGAAGTTGAAGACCCGATCTTGGGATTCGGACAGGCCCGGCGAGCGATCTTGGATGTGTGTGGCGGTGGCTGCGCATTTGACGGATATGGGTTTGGCGGGGTTTAGGGGGGTGGTGGTGGTGAGGCGGGTGGAGGTCATGGGGATGTTGGCGAAGGTCGTTTTGGAGTTTCTGAGGAAATTGGTGTTTGGGTTTTGGAGGAGGAGCGAGTGAGGTGTGGTTGCCATTGCCATGGTGTCGGTGTTGCTGCTTCAGACCAAACTAAGAGAGACGGGGTGGTGGTGGCAAAGATCTTAACCTTGCTGGGGGTATTTATACACGGCTTAGTTCTAGGTCCTTTCAAATTTAACAATACGTTGTGCCGTTGGTCTTTTTTACTAATGTCGTGGGTTTGTTTTTTCGTTAAATTTAAGAGTATATTAGAAAATTTATCCCACCTTATTAATGCCCTCGTTTGTTAGTTGTTCACCGATAATTCAATCTCTTACCAATTAAATGGAACAAATATACGAAAGTAGTGAAAATGATCAATAGTACAAATTTTTAAATTAAAAGACGGAAGAAATTAATACGAGAGTTAAGGGATTAAAGTTAAATAAAAGTAAGCATTTATATAATTTAACTATTAGGGGAAGTCTGTAAAATTGAATATTCGAAACAGAGAAGCGATACTGCCAAATCATTGTGGTTGGTGAAGAAAATGTTGGAAAACTTGGAATGAGCAGAATCACGTCGTTTAAGTGAAGCGACGTGGTACTCAAATTCTGAATAGTATAAGTTGGGGCGGCTCATAAGTCAAGGTAGGTTAGTGCGTCATGTAGAAATGTTTGGATATTTTAACCCTTTACAAGGACAAATTGGTATTTTGATATTATATAAAAACGGAAATGTAACTACTAACTAGCGGTCCAAAATAGTTATTATACATTTTTACAGGTACGAAGTTCCTAATGATTTTCAAAAGCGTCAGTAACTGCTCTCTATATTATGTCATCAACAACTATCGAAATAAAGTTCAAACATAAACCATGAGCAACAACAATTGAGAAAATGGAATCCATTTGTGTCGTCAATTTATTTGAAGTTCAAAGTAAAAATTTGAAATGAAAAATGGAGCATGTTCAATTAGAACACACTAATCTGCTTTCTCAAGCAAACAACTTGAGGCTGCTGCAAATCCTAGAAATCTAGGGTAACCCAACTTTCCTAGGTGTGCAACCACAGTTGCTGAATTATTAAGTGCATTAATCTTCTTCTTCTTCCCAAATTACCCAATTAAACCCCAATTAACAAAGTCATCATATGTAATGTTTGTTAGTGAGTATATGGGCCTGCTATAGTTGTTGATTCTGCACCAGACACTTTGCTGGTTCTGAATTTGCAATGTAGCCAAACTTGGATGTACAGTACTTCCTGTGCACCCCTGTCAGCCTCCCCGTCGACGCCTTCTGGTGGAATCCCACCATCAAACTTGAGCATTCTCTGTTACCATCAAATTAGTGAGTTGTTAGTAAATTCTTCGACTGATTAAGATTTAGTTACTGTTTTATAGATGGGAGAAACTAATAAGTAAAAGTACTCACAAGAGCTGTTCTTCCGAGTAGTTTGTGTGCCACTCGCAGGTGCTGCTCCATTGCTTGAACCCGAGAAGAGTGCATTGAGCAGTGTAGACTGCAGCAGCGGCTAACAGAGATGGTGGAAACTTCAGCATTTGGTACTCCACGAGAGAGAGCTCGATTAAGAAGAACGATAGGAGTTCAATCTGTTTTGAGGACATCAAAGAAAAAGGAATCAGAATCTCGTTGGAGTGAGAAAAATGTTTTGATCTTCGATGAATCACTACTGACCTTCTTGTCGGATTGAGCAGCCTTGAGGAATCTATTCATGAAAACATACGGCGTTGGAACTGACATGTTAAACTGCAATGTGTTGAGAATCATGTTCTCCTGCAGCAGAAAGGGAAGGACAATTAGAACTACTACAACTTCAACAAGTAACTTTATTTCCAAAGTGTGCAAAACAATTAAGCATAATCGCCCTCGCCCGAGAAAGAACAACGAATTACCATTTCCAGGACATCATTCCTTGTGTAAGCTTTATCCGATATAAGAATCAAATCCCCGACGATAGGAACAGAAACTTCCTCATATTTGCATGCTAAAAGCATGGCAACCAGACCAACCAACTGAAGTTTCTTTCTTACAACCGTATGCTGGGATAAAAATCTGTCTATAAGGTTCACAGTAAGAAACAATGTCTCCTTCAGTAGCTCAAACTTGTCGTGCACCTATTGATTCGGATAAACAGATTAGTCATTTGTAATTCGTAAAAGAGGTTGATTGAAACAAACTGCACTGATGATTAATCAAGAGAAACCATTTGCCATTTTCGGAAAATTGATCGATTTAGGAAAGAAAAGTATACCTCAATAAGCCAGTCAATTAGTATAGCCCTCATCTTCTCATTGATGTCACATTGTTGCTCCAAATAGTTAGGTGGGACACAGCTAAAACCCTGCAAATATGAACGTTGGTTAAGTTAGTCACACTTTGGTTGAAATGGATGTTTTCCCACTTTTGTTTTTCGTCGAAAAAGGAAAACTTCATTAATGGTTTTTGCTAAATGGGAAGCAAATCAAATTCCTCTGTGACAAAAATGTACAAACATTTTACAGAAAATGTTTTGATGTCGATTAAAATGCAAATGCCAGACAATTTGTTAGACGAAAATTTAAGACCTGACATAAATGCTTTCCATTTACAGATATTGGTGTTCTGTAATGGCCATGGAAAGAGATCCACAACAGATTTACTTGTCATTCGAGAATCGAGATATGCGACTCTTAAATGTGACAGGTAATTGACTAAATCAGTACAGGCACGTAGCAAGTTCTTCGCGGCACGCAAAGAACTTCTTCAGCGCGCTTTCGCGCGAATCAATCAGGTCATATATCTCGAGACATTTGAAGAATTTCGTATCTATGATCATTTGACAATGAATTTGCTATATCTAATTGTTCAGTAATAAAACAGTGAGCAATTTTCACCTCCATTCTCCTATAGTAAGCATAGAGATCCTCAACATAGTCTACAACTGCAAGGGGATTCTTCAAATCGCCACCGTCAATATCCACAAGAGGCTCTTCCACAATGTCCTCCATTTCAACCTCTTTCTAAAAGATCAAATTTTTATGTGAAATCAGAAAATTGGGTTTTTCCAACAAAACACAATCCAAAAACTCGACATGTTTTTCAGAAAGATATACCGTATCATTCGCTTCTTCCGGCATTGATTCTTCTTGCTCTAAGAACATGGGCTCTGCGTCCTCCGTCATTGCTTCTGCTTGGCCTTCAGGGGACTTGAATTCGTCGTCTACGAATATACTAATGCAATCTCCAAAACCAGCTGAGTTCGTGGTTTCATCTGCTTTGTTTGGCACCTTTGGGATCTTGACTTCCTGATGATATCCATCACACCAACCCCATCAATCAAATAAGGAAAAACAGATAAGAAAAATTAAAAATCAATCTGGATGCGGATAGCGGTACCTCGAAACAAGATGGCTGAGTGCTAATTTGTGCAGCAAACTTCCTGTAAAAAGCGCAAATCAACATCAAATTTTGGTTAAATACGTATTAAAAATTTGACTTTCACGTTGGTTTAAGATCTAAAGATCAAAATTTTGAATTTCATACCCAACAATTGAAATAAAAAATGAAAAAACAGTATAAGGGTAAAATTCAAACCTGGTGATTGGTCTGTGCGCTGGATCTGCCTGCTTCTTCTCATAAACTTCATGTTTTCTGAGATTAACCAAAAACAAAAAACTAAATAAATAAATAAAATTCAAGAAACCATGCCCGTGAAAGATGAAAAATTCGAAAGGCGAAAAAGTGTTTGAAAATTACTGTGTAAAGGGTCTCTTGTTAACAACACAAGGGTATGCTGGAGCTCCTAACAAGCTTTGATTAATGACTCCTAAAGCCCTCCTGGTCTGCCTAATCTGCCGCTGTCCAAGCTTGCCGGTACCCACCTCTAGTCCTCCTACATTTCGTTCGAAAAGCGAAAAGAGTCAGAATCTTTTGAAATTTTCATCATCAAAATCTCAAAATCCAAATGCCCAGAATTTAAAAAATCAACCCCATTTCAGTGACTTCATTCACCTTGCATATTTGTGGGTCTGATCAGATTGGAACGGTTCTCATCAGAAATAACCATTTTAAGCTTATGATTTCCTGAAGGAACAATCAAAATCAATCAATCCAAATCACACCCAAGTGAGCAAAGAGGCTAAGAATTCTCAGTCACCCTAAATTTCTTCTCCCCAAGAGAGCATCTAGAGAGAGAGAGGGGAGAGAGAGAGAGAGAGGGAGAGGGAGAGGGACTGAAAGCTCTGTAAAATACAGTGAGTAGTAGTAGAAATAAAGACAGAGCTGAGCTACATAATAAAGTGACAATCAGTGGGTATTTGTCCCCAGAGAGAGAGAGAGAGAGAGAGAGAGAGAGAGGACCCCAAAAATTACCCTTCTGCTTTTTTCAAATACAACGGCTAGTGAAAAGTGACCGTTAGATCATGCGGATTCGGATGACTTTCTATGTAATACCCCTATGTCCGAACAACGGTCACCTTCGCATGTGGTGTTGGCCTGTGGGATTTCAAATTAATCAAATTCTTTTCACTTTTTTTTTTAATCAATTATCCAATGATTGGGGGTTGGACTAAAAAATCCTATGCGCTCCTGCCCACCGGATCCTTCTATTTTTTTTTTGGTACTATTAAATCAAATTAGGATAATGGTTACCTAATTAGATTGGTTATATTTTGAAGATTAGTAAATTTTGGATATTTTAGCATCTAACCAAATTTATGTGTGGCTTCTTATTTGTTGGGTGGACCAAATATTTTCTTGTTTAAATTATAAATTTGTATTTATTTCCAAATTACAATATTTAACGTTGCTTAAATGTCTACTGGGCCAAAGTTTCTACTTTATGATGCTCAGCAGCGAATGTTGAGTGTTTCTTTTATTAAAATGTTCTCAATGTACTCTCGCGGCAAAACGGGGGAGAGTGAGAAGAATCGCGGGAAGGTTTGTAGGAGCATGAATAACTCGAGAGACTGCGGGAATTGCTTATAAAAGCATTAACGGTAATTTTTGCTAGATTAATTTGGAAAATTAACATTATAACAATTTGGCAAACAAAATTACATTTAAGGAAGTTTGAACAAGTAACTGACATAATTGCTGACACACGAGATCATTGCAAAAATTAACATTATAATTATTTGGCAAACTATTGTAGCTGAGAAGAAACCTAACTGTATTAAAGAGTGTGTCAGCAATGACGTTAGTTTTACGTATCTTGCTCAAATGAATGAATGAACGAACTATAAGAAATTATGATGTGAACATTTTGGTGGCACATTAAATACTTTCCATTAATATGAAATCCAAGACAAAATAGGGGAAATAGGTAACAAGATAACATAATAGCGAAAGCGTTAAAACAAATATTAACCAAACAATTAATCGTGAAACAAGAGTGAGAGCGTACTGGTTTTTTTTTTTTATTATTCCATGTGGCCCCGTATGTACCAGTGGGCCTACATGCGCAGCAACATAAATTTTGCCAAATTTGAACAGTAGAAATGGAATATTGTTTTTTTTATTTGTGCAATTAAGTTCAAATTTTTCTTTGTTTACAAGTGATAGATTTTAACCTTAATGTAAACATGTCATCGTATAAAAACAAATTCGTGTAATTTAAATTAGTTTAGTATAGATTTTGTAAATAAAAAAGAATTAATTTGAGAGGCAAAACGTGAATTAGTTCAATCATTGCGAAGTAGACGTAGCCAATAGGTCATGTTTGTTGTGTTCGTATTGTTACCGTGTCAAACTTGTTATCGTAATGGATCATGTCATGTCAAACCTGTTATAATGAGAAGTTTTAAACTTCAAACCCTAAGTTGAACTGTTAAATTAACGGATTATCCAATCCAACCCGTCATACCCGTTAAGGACAATATATTACTTTAATACATAATCAAATAAATAAAACTAAATTATTAAACATTAACAATAGGTAAACTTGAATCAACTTGTGATTTAACAAGTACTTAATGGGTTGAACTGATAAAACACCCGGCCTCTTAATCCCAATCCAAAACTTATTTTTTTTCTATGTTGTTTCATATTAAGTTAATGTGTCGTGCATAAAATTACCAGGTCTACTACAAAATAACTACACAAGTCAGAATCCAAAGTTGAACATTTATTTCGATACCTCAAATGTTACAATTTGCTAACAGGAGATCCAGCCATTTGAAGTTATACTTCAAAAGCAAATTGAGTTTTACACACCACCCTTCTCTCCTGCAAACACATTTTTTTTGTCGATTGACCCTCCTTTGATTCATGCAATCGAACTAAAATTAAACAGGGCTGTGTAGAAAAAATATTGGCGATACCTAAAGCTTTCCAACGTTGTTAATGGTCACCCATACGCATCCAAAAGACGATCCTCGAACCTCGAACCTCGAACGAATCATTAAATAAATACAAATTTTGTAGCACAAACTATTTCACACTGCTCCTTAACCAACATGATTTCGTAATGCCTAAGGCTAACCAAAATTGTTAAAACCGATAAATGAAAGGGAAATGAGGAGGGGGAAGCAAAATGTTACAATGTGCAAAACCTGGGGGTATATCTGAGGACTTTTCCTCCAGCTCCTAGGACTTTTTATGGATACACCTGCAATGCAGAAAGAAAAGGAAGAATTATTCATGAAAACTGTGAGTGAGAGGGATGGAAGGAGGGAGGGGAAGGCACAATAAACATACATGTCATTTTTGTTAGTTTACGACAATAGTTTCACTTGAAGAGACTAGATAGTCGACGGAGACTGGATATTGGCTTCTCTGCTACTTGTTTGCGTTTCTGAATCTCCTCAACACCCCTGCTGAAAATACAAGAGAGGGGAGGTGGACTGCCCCTCTCCTCGTCTGTTTCTTGTCTGAGGTCCGTAATCTTCTCACAGATCACTTTCCGTGTTACAGGATACCCTCTCTGCTCTAACATATTTTCCAGCTTAATAGTCTCCTCCTGACTTGAATTACACTTCTTAGTATTCTTCTTCTCCTTTGTCTGGAACTTATCATTCTCAGAAAGCTCTTGCTTTTTCTCAGTCACCTCTTCTGGTAACTGACGTTTTTTCTTCTCTAACATATTTCCCAGAACTGAAATCAACTCCTTCTGTGGTGATTGAGTTGTTTCAACAACCTCTTGATTATCGGTAGCAATATCTGGATCAAAAACTACTTTCACCCTATGTTTCTTGGACAACTCTTGTTTTATTTCAGGGGCATCAATTGCACGTTTTCTACCCTTAGTGAAATTTTTGTCAATGATATCCTGCTGCAGGTGGTAGTTGTCCTCCTTCCCCTGAACGGCTTCCTTTGCTCTCAAAATCCCACTGTCCATGGTTTCTAGAATAACTTTCCCTAAAACAAACCTAACCTCGCGCATGTGACCTTTCCCAAGTGAGTAGTAATCAATCTCAAAATTCTTCCTTCCTTGATTGTAATATTCGATGTCATTGGTCAGGACTTCAACAATTGCGGCAACATGTTTAGCCATATTCTTGGGTAAAAATGCCTGAACGAATCACATTTGTTTTAATCGAATTAGGCACATGTGAAACAATATATAAGTACTCCAACCAAAGAACAACTTTATACAAGCACAAAAACAAATATTTTAAAATTAACTGCTAAATGGGATTTGACAGTAACAGCACATAGTAGGCATGATATGGTAACTGTCAAATGTAACACCTAGTCTATAATCCAAGGATTTGTGACATACTCCTGTGATACAAAATCAAGGCACGATATGGTAAAACAGTAAAAGGGAACAAAAATTCATATAAAAATTGTGCAATGCGGTTGAATATAAATACCAAATTCCATAACAGCGTTTACTTATGGGATGAAAAAAATGCAGATAAGTGATATGAGAGACGCATCAAATTCCAGCTCAGGAATTGAATATCAATTAGACGTACTTACCAACTCAGAGAATGGCAAAACAGGATATCTGGACATTGATTCATCAGGATCTTTTGTTGCAGTTAAAGCGGCAATATGATCTAGCATAAAAGAAGCTAACTTGGAAACTTGTTTTGCAAGTTGTTCCTCTGATTTAAGTCCACATGAGCCTGAGATCTCAGGTACATAGTTAACTATCAATGCAGCATTGTCTCTGGAAAATTTAACCCCTTCTTCCCATTCTTCATGATACAGAACAGAAGCAAAAGTCAATACTACAAGAGCATCTTGTGGGTTATTGACTAGTGCCAGGTGAAATGCCAACAGTCCGACCCTGTAGTAAAGACAATTAATCAGCAGTGACATCTGCATTACATATAGAAAGCTGAAACCCAACTATTTATAAAAGACTGAATTCCCAATGTGACTAGACATAAGGCACGGGGCACAGCTAGCATAGGCTAATTGTCATATAAACTGGTTAAAAAAATTTAAACCAGTGCTCAGAACCAAGTTTATAAAAATAAATAAAATGAAATGCCATGATGTGTTGGATATTATAATCTAACAGAAACAATAAACATTTATCTCACCATAAAGAGCAGTGACCAGGCCTATCACAGCTAACCACTTTATCCATATTCGAGAATAGTTTCTGTTGAAAAAGAAAGAAAAATCAAAATCTAACTAAATTGCTGCGTTGGGCATAAATTAACTTGGCTCCACATCAAATGAAAAAGAGTTGAAGACTAGATACCTACATTTTGCGTAATACAAAAACAAATACCACAAGCACACACAAAACTGTTGTGGAAGAAAAATTAGAAAACTCTCAATAGCTCTTGTTCCATAAATTCTAATTGAGAGACGTGACAAAAGTTCTAACATTATTAACAGTTTAACATATTAAAAAATAATTTTTTGATTTTTGATTTGAGAAAAGAAAATTGAGACCCTTCTAGATCATAATATTGAAGAATCCAACTTAGAAGTATCTCTGTAAATGATTCCTCTTCGAGCTCTTGCAAAGATACTGAATCAAACCACACTTGATTTGGGATGCAAAAAGATCCTTCTGTAGTTTTCAATGCATTGCTTTATATAAATCCTTTTTTTTCTTGCACAATCTCTCCAGGATTATGGATTTAAGAAATCTCTTTCGGTTAAATATTAAAATTGAAGAAACTTTTTGTAGTGTTTTACCATCAACATCGAGGAACTCTGAGCGCCTTTCAAGTTTTCACTCTGTTGGTCAAAGTATGCTGCCTGCAATGGTATCAGTTTGTGTTAGATATACACCTAAGGACTATGGATTTATTTGTAATGAAAAAATTATTTGTAATATATTTTTCATTACAATAAAGGATTATTTTACAATATGAAAC